GGAATGCGAAAGGTAACGGGAGGGGAAGGAATTAGACGTTACGGAAGGGGAGGTGGGTTAATGTGGATTGTAAATCGTTTTTGTCGGCTTTGGAGTGAAGGGTCAAGGGGGGGGGAAGGGGATTAGTCAGTTATCGGGTGATTTCTGAGGTAAAAAATACTTTTTAGTCGGGGGGGGGGGAGTGGGGTATCAGGCCGTGGAAGATAAGGCGTGATAATTTTTGGCAAAGAATGTGGTGGGGTATGGGGGAGGCATTCTTAGGATTGGGCCTGGGTTGGCTACTTTAGTCTACCCACACACACACCCCAAAGTGCTCCAGTCAGGACAGCTTGTCATGCCAGGAGCCAACGACAACTGAAAGCTGCCAGGGTAATGCAGTAGCGCGCCGCCTCCAAAGCACCCCTGCAAATGGCGTTGACGAGCTGTCGCCTCAGCTCCCTTCCCCCCACACCTTGATGGCTCTGTTCCTGTTCCCCTATCGCCAGCTCATTCGGACATTACTGAGGCGACCAGTCGGAGTTTGTAACCGAACTCTACATCTTTTAAGTCCTATCTCTGGTATCTGCACTGCTCTTTCCTGAGCTGGCAGGCCGAACGATGCTCGTTGAGCGTACTCACGCCCACCCCCCACAGCCATTAATCACCATCTGATGAACGGAATTGCAATTGCCACATGGGCAAGTGGGTTCACTTTTGTCCAAAGACACTGAGAACGGCAACTGCTACAATATCTCCGTAGCTATTGTCTCGACTTTCTGTTCGGTGATCTGTTACAACGGTTCATGATGGACAGGACGGAAGTTGCCGACGTCGCAACCCAGGACAGAAATCAAGCTTCCTCCCATCTTCTGTCATTCGTGCGCCACGAGCCGTATGGTACGTCATTCCCCGCGTCCAAGTCAAATAAACGATGCTCGGAGCCTCAGGAGACGCATGGAAAGTCTGCATCTCACACGATCCTGACACCATGCAACTTGGCCCGGCTTCTACCCGCGATCAATACGATAGGCAGGATTTCACCGAATATGGAGACAAGTTTGGTTCATCGACGGAAAAAAGGAGGGTGACATGGCAGGGTCGGTAAGATGATATTTGCTAAGATGTTCGGTTAGGCTGTTGCAACCCCGAACGCCTACAGTGTTGTGTGGAACAGACCCGTAGGGAAGGTATGCTTAAAGCTTGAGCTGGTGATCGACACGTTAAGGAAACCTGGCAGAGGTGTATTCAGGGCTGGCGCTAACCTCCGTGACCGGCGTTTTGTCATGCCCTCAAATCCATGGTTAATGGTTAGGGGATTAAGTGTAACCCAGCCCAACGTATGACCGTTTTCCATCCATTCTGGCCACCAAGTGGTGTTGCGGCACTCCCCCTCCGACAATCTTAGCCCTTCTCGAGTACGTCCCTCCCTTGTAGATTCGTCCCTGTTTGTTTTCCCGCCACACCTACCTGGGTGAGGCAACGTGGGTTACACTGCACGATATGCACCTCTACCGTATCAGCAACATGGAGTGGCAGGGTGGAGCTTCAAACAACATGAATGTCCCCATACATAAGTAGCAGCCTCCGGTACGCTGGAGACCTGGAATAAAAACCTGATATTTTGAGACGACGAGTAATCCAGTGTTTAGTCTGATCTCTTCAATCAGACTGCCCAAATCCGACCCGACTTGGAATAGCTGTTTTCCACTGCTCCTTGTGACCCTCACGCCAACCGGAACATCTCTGGACATAGATCGGCACCGAGGCCCGACAAGAGCAAGAATGGAAGATGAGAACAGAACTCGTCAACGCGGCCGCAAACGATGGACCGAGGAAGAAGATAGCATCCTCTATGAAGAAGCTATGAAACAATGCAAGTTATGCGTCCCGTCTGCGTGGCCTGTCTCATTGCCGTCTAACTGGGTTCCATCACAGCCACCACGGGAAATGTCAGAGATTGGCACAGGATAGCCACCAAGCTGCCGGGGAGAACAAACAAGGATTGTCGCAAACGATGGGTCAACAAAGTCTGTGGAGGGTTGAAGAAGGGACTCTGGGACCCCGAAGAAGATCGTCGACTCCAATCAGCTGTAGAAAAGCATGGGTTAAGATGGCCACTCATCGCTGCTGAGGTGGGCTATCGGAGCCCTGACCGTATGTCCTGACATTGTTGATCCACCGACTACCTAGACGATTGCCGTGGTTGCTAACAGCAAAGTTCAAAAAAGAATGTGCAAAAAGGTGGCAATATGGGCTCGACCCAAGATTAAAGCATCGAGAGTGGACAACGGAAGAGGTGTGTAATCCCGTTTCTGTACTGCGTGCTTTCCGCTAATCGCATGCTCCAGGACAAGCTGCTGCTTTCGCTTGTGCAAGAAAGAGGACGGGAGTGGAAGGCTATTCAGCACAGTCACTACCCATCGCGATCACGGATCGATCTCAAGAACCGCTACACAATTCTCATGCGCAGACTAAACAACCCCAGCCATCAAGATGTCTTTCAGGATGAAGATGGCTCTGACACCAGCTCTGTCATATCAGCTGGCGACGCGAGTGATGATGGAACCGGCACAACAGCAGCCACAACGATCAGTACGCATAGCGGCTCATCATCACACAGGCTGCATTCAAGACAGGGCTCCAGAGTGTCTGCTGCGTCTGATCAAGTAGTGGCGCAGTCCAACACACACTCGCAACATGTTGAAGTCAGCTTGGGGACGGGACATCCGCATGTGGAGCAGCTTGAAGCAGACTTCAACGCGTCGGACTGGCTTGACTCCTCAGCCTTCTCCCTCATACCCACCACCACAGCTCAGCACGCAGGAAGCGTTGATCCATTATCGCTGACGTCGTTTTTGGATCATCACAGTTCAGGGCTGCATCACGATACAGCTATGATGTCTTCAACCTGGGAAGATCCGTTTTCAGCGTCTGCTGCCCCGCAAGCTTACCACTTGTCTGGGTTTCATCTTTCCACAAGCACCTATCCTCAAACGGCCGGCTTAACGACGACCACAGCCACCGTTGATGACCATGATGTAGGGAAGGGGGATGTAGAGATGGAGGGAATGGTTGCTTTTGACCCGACCCTCCTTCTCGCTGATACCACGGGCACGGACAGCTATAGCACAGAGCCTATCCAATCCACCGCGGGACCAGAGCAGGTCCCGCGATCGGAACAGAATGTGAGAGGAGAGTTGGGGTCCGGTGATGATGAAGATGTGAGCAAAGTGGTCATTGCAGTCGAAGGATGTGATAAAGATACATTGGACTATCTGCTCAATGTCACCAGACCAATCAAGGGACGTGTGAAAATGGAGATTACTATGTGAGTAAGGGCGGTTGAATATGTCGGTACAAAGGTAATCCTCTTTGTATGTATATAACTTGCAACTTGGGTTGGCATGGCGAAGGTGTTGAGGCGAACTTTTGGGACATGAAACATCATATCACAAACTGCTTTTCTACTAAGGGTTTCCCATGACGGCCCTAGTATTTCATTGATATCCACAGTCTTGGGAAAACTTAGATGTACTGAGCTTGTGTTAGGGGCACTGCCTTAGTACTTATAGATCAAGAACTATAATACCAGGTGGGTAGGTGAACAATTAATCTTAATATATAATATACATCAACAACAGCCTGGGTTGCTCCGTTTTTATCCAGGGGTTTCTTTGGCGATCTCGAGTGTAGCTTAGTAACGCCGCTCTTATTACCACTGTCGATGTATTTTCCCTTGCTAGCAATCTTGTTGCTAAATATATTCGCTTCTCCGTAGTCTTCCGTGGAGCTAAACTGAGTCAATATTCAAAAGTTCAAGCTGTGAACCCTCTCCGATTTCAATAGAGGTACCTATAGAGGTACCTATGCCCCCCAATGTAGGTGTCTGATAATATTGAGGGTTTAAAAGATAATTCCAAGAGTTCAAAGACATGGACGCTGAGAACGAGTCAAATCAAAACTCCAAGAGCCTTGCAAGGGGAACTGCAACGGCGCTCTGGTGAAGGAAGTGTCTGAATGTTTGGGGGTGAGAAATATAGCCCTTTGCCGAGACTGTCGAAGGGTGTAACCAGGTAGGTACTACACCCACATCGGACCTTGGCATGCTCTTTTCAACATGAAATGTCGAGATAGCGATACAGTGAGTGGTTTCAAGCTCCAGGTCCTTTGGGGTCAAGGTTCTTAAGGGCCAGTGTACACCTAGATTATTTGTGACCGAGGAGAGCTTTCCAACTTAGGTAGGTAGTTGACACTATTGAAGGCCGGGGCCTTCACCCGGACTCAATATTCACGAGGCAGACACATATTCCTTCTCACATACATACTGAGGCCTGTACCAGCTGACCGAAATGATGGACCAATCACCCAAATATCGAGCAGGACATTGGTGCCAACCTTCAATTCTGCCATGACATGGAATGTACGCCAAGTCTGATCACCATTAAACCGCAACGCCTTGCCATCCAGCCCTTTGGGTAGCTCGCATTTGTCTTCTCCATCCGGTATAGTGAATCGCTTGAAATGATTGGAGAACGTGCTACTCCTGCAGACCACAGCAAACATATGGTTCGTTTTACAAGACTTGCCCCCGGCCCCCATCAGTTGTCATAGATTGATCCCCATATGCCTTGTCTCCCCTGCGACATGCTTTCCAGTCATCTGGATGTAAGGGTTCACTCCGAAAAAGCAAATACACCCTGAGTGCCTCAAACATGAAAGTTTCCGCAAATACCTTAAGGCTTACCGTTAACCGAATGCACCCCTCACGTAAAAGTTCCCCATTGATTGGTATCCTGCCTCACATTTACAAAGCTGCCATACTTCTGGCCCAAAACTGTAACAGATTGCAGAGCGCAATTAAAATTCAATATGCTAGCCGCAGCTTGACGCTCGACACTGTATCCGGGCTTGGCCTGGATGCTCGCTTGGAGATGGAGCATGTTACGAGGAGTCGAATCCTGCCGGGTAGCACGGGAAGAGTGCCATGCACTTGACCAATGGAAAATAAATTAAAAGATGCAACATGGGAGCTCCTCCGCCAATACTCGGAGAACAAAACCTTCCACGCTCTTGGGCATCTCCCACCGTGACCAACAAATGCTCAACAGAATGCACTTGGTCACCTCACCTATCCTCGCTATTTGGCACTCAACTCGTGATTGTCGTTCACCGAACTTGGGGGCGAACTTTGTCCAATAGGATAAACTGATGGCATTTATCCGTTTCAGCATCAAGACTGCCGGCGGCCAACACCGAGCAACATGTGAACACAAAATCCTCACCACCAACAGGCGGAAGCTAGATCAAAACAGGGGTTGGTATGCTCATATCTCTCGATGGCAACGAGTCCGGTGCGATCCCGCAAACGACGGACGCGCTGACGGACCATGATGGCAAGGCTTGGCGTTATGAGTCCGAGGGCCCGGCTCTGTCAGCTCCGAGGGCCAGCCGGACGTGGGGCCGTGTGGTGCGGGGGAAGATCCTTTCCGCCTTTGTGTGTTCCCCCGTGTCCCATTGGCTGGGGTAAAGCGCTCCGTTGCTTGATTCTAGCCACCCTTCTTGGCGTCGCGGGCAAGAGATTCGTTCAGAGCTTGACCTTTTCTTGTCACGGCATCGCTGGTCTGCTCGGAGCATTATTCTGGAATCCAGTACCGGAACTAACAGGTTGACAGCACGTAAGAGGCGCAAAAGGCGCTCACAAGACTGGTTTTGATGCACCAGGCATTGGCTCCTCACGGCCACGGACCGATTACAAGACGGGACAAAAGGCTCGTTGACAGTGGGCATGCAGCTCTATTTGCCGACACCAGTTCCAAGTGAGGGACGCTAGCGGGAAGACGAGCATTCAGAGCCGGCTTGGTCGTGAGAATCCTGTCTGTGCCGTCGCATTTACCCGGCGGAGGCGGCTCGATGTCCCACTCTAATCACATCTGCTTGCTCTGCAAAGGTTTTGTCAGCCAGGCCATAAAGCGCAAGAAGGAAAAGAGGAAGGTTGCGTCCCCGCGTTTGCCAAGCTTCGGTACCTCTCGCCACGAATCAGGGGCCCCTGGCTGACTTTAACGATTGTTTGCTGTACAGTGAATTGAATTCAACAAGAACTTTGCTCCGTGCTCGCATTTCCATCAGGGTGTCGCATCCATCCATCCCACGCGGTTCCACTCTTGACTTCCCATCTTGTATGGAGGGTCCCACTCTACCCCGAGGGAGGGAAGAGATTGTGGACTTAGGCATTCACTTTTTGACAGGACGACCCACCGCCTACGGCAAGTCAAGGAGCAAAGACGGGATATCAGGCCCTCAGTTGTCCCTCAGTTGTCCCTCACTAATACCCAACACTATGTGCGCGGCGCAGGTGGTTGGCGAATGGGGACGACATGGAAACGCCGTTCCATTGGACTGGATCCATCAGGTATGGAGTGATCACCATTGCCCCATGGGGCGGCAAGACCCCATGTTTGCATCTCCACCACCTTAATTCACAAGTTCCGCCCAACCATCAGAGCAGGCATCGACAGCCGATTATCCCCGCTCACTCCGCATGTCCCAGATCACAAGAACAGGGCAATAGCTCCTGGAAGATGGCAGGCAAAATGCAGATTCCATGGCGGACAGGGCTGGACGAGACTACATCGAGGAGAATGTTGTGACTTGGCCCGAGGTAAGGGGGCAGGCAGGTAGCAATATCGAGATGGGACGCGGGAACCAGAATCAGTGGAAAGGAAGTGAGCGAACCGCCTTTCCGTTCCTGGGAATAGATTTTCCTCTGTACCTACGCTCACGTACCGTCGTTTATTGGACGGGGTTACCCCGAGAGTTGAGTGGCCCATGGCCATCCCGGGGTCATGGATACACCCTCTGCAGGCTATATTGAATTCATACCATGTGCTTGGGGATGATCCGCGAGAGCGGTTGGATTAAAATGGCGCTGTCCTGCTCCTTTCCTGCCGTCCCCGTCCCTCTTCTCTCCTCACCCTCCCCCTTACCTCCATCTTCACACAAGGGTGTGGCCTGCCCCTAGTCGATTCTATTGCGACTAAGAACCTCCTGTCTGTATTCTTGCTACCGCGACATCAGAAACCAAGACAGCAACCATGGCTGGCGACGGTGCTGGCGTGACCGGCAAGTCGGATCCCATCATCAGCCGGCTTGCCAACGAGGACAAGAAATGGTTCTACCAGAAGCCCAACCTGCTTTACCTTTACCTGATGCTCTTTCCCACTTGCATGGGTATTGAGTTGACGTCTGGTTTCGACTCGCAGATGATCAACGCTCTGCAGATCGTCCCCTTCTGGAAACTTTGTGAGTGGTTCCCAGCTGAACCAGATCTTGGGGTTCAAGCATTAATGTTTTGTTTGCAATGCAGACTTCAATGATCCTCAAGGTGCTCTCAAGGGGATTATTGCCGCTGCCTACTCTCTCGGTGCTATTCTCTCTCTTCCGTTCATCCCCATGATCAATGACAGGTTCGGCCGTCGCTGGTCCATCTTTGGCGGCTCTGTCGTCATGGTTATCGGTGCTCTCGTTCAGGGTTTCTCCGTCCACGGTAAGCATGTCTCCGCCAGACCCATCGATAACATGCAAGCTGACACAAAGTACAACAGTCGGCATGTACATCGTCGCCCGTATGATTCTCGGTTTCGGTATTCCCACCTGCATTGTCTCTGGCTCGTCTTTGATCGGAGAGTTGGCTTATCCCAAGGAGCGTCCTGTCATGACCTCGCTCTTCAACGTCGCCTACTTTGTCGGTCAGATTATTGCTGCTGCCATCTGCTTTGGCACCAACAACATCCAGAGCGACTGGGCCTGGAGAATCCCATCGCTTTTGCAGATTTGCCCTTCTCTTTTGCAAATCACCTTTGTCTTGTATGTTCCGTCTTCCTGGGCTTTCTTCCGGTTCGCTAATGTGGTCTTGAACACAGCTTCCTTCCCGAGTCGCCTCGCTGGCTCATCACAAAGGATCGTGGTGATGAGGCTCTTGCGATCTTGGAGAAGTACCATGGCGAATCTGATCGCGGCGCCGAGTTCGTTGCGGCCGAGTTCGCTCAGATGCAGACAACCATCAAGCTCGAGTTGGAGGCGGCCAAGAAGTCATGGCTGGACTTGTTCAAGACGGCCGGTATGCGCCGTCGTGTTCTGATCACCACCATGCTGGGTCTCTTCACACAATGGTCCGGCAACACCTTGATTTCGTAAGTGGCTCGCCGACACCTTAACTTCCTCTCGGTACCCGGGCACTAACCAATCCCAAGATACTACCTTGGTGATCTTCTCAAGATGATTGGTTTCACCGACACAACCTATGTCCAGAAGATCAACGTCTCGATTGCCTGCTGGTCTCTTGTCTGCGGCGCCACCGTTTCTCTCCTCGTCACCAAGATTCGTCGTCGCGTCATGTATCTCGCTTGCACCATCTCTCTGCTTCTCTGCTACATTTCCTGGACCATCTCCATGGAGCGCGCCCAGACTGCCGCTCAAGCTGGCACGCCCAACAACGCGGCCAACATTGCGACCCTCTTCTTCATCTACGCCTACTCTCCCTGCTACAACATGGGTTACAACGCTCTCACCTACACCTACATGGTCGAGGTGTGGCCCTATGCTGAGCGCTCTTCCGGTATCGCCTTCTTCCAGCTCTTTGGCCGTCTTGCCGGTTTCTTCACCACTTTTGTCAACCCCATTGGTCTCAACTCGGTGGGCTGGAGATATCTCATTTCCTACTGCTGCTGGCTCGCCTACGAGGTCGTGTTTGTTTACTTCTTCTTCCCCGAGACATTTGGTCGCACTCTGGAGGAGTTGGCCTTCTGTAAGTCAAAAGTCCATCCGCAAACTATGGGCATCATCTGGACAGGGCTAACAACGAGGCAGTGTTTGAGGACAAGTATCTTGCCGACCAGGCCAACGCCGCTGTCGAAAAGGTTCTCAACGAGAAGAACGCGGACGCAATTTCCCTCGGTGGGGAGAAGGGTCGCTCCGAAGTCCGGGAGAATGTTGCTTGAGATGGTCACAGCATTGCGGCCGGTGTGATCTAGCCAAAGATACCACGGATTGGCTGGAGGGAAGGAGTTTGCTCGGGGACGCACATGCTCGATGGAGCGGGAGCAGGGTGTACCACAGTAGATGCATTTATCTTTAGTTACATCAGCACTAATCGCCTATAAAGGATGAATGACATTTGGTGTTTCTGATGTCAGCCCTTCTCTTGGCCATGTTAACGTGGTGATATTTGCCGCTCTGGAACAAGCTAGCCTCGCCTTGTTGGGAAACAAGGTCTGAGATTTGTCCGCTCGAAATATGCCAAGTCAAACATGCAAAGATGTGGTGAATCTTCCATGTGGCAAATTGTCCGGGATGATACCCCCCAAATTGAAATGTATAGTGGCCAAGACGTTGTGGATCTGTTCCCCGCGTTCGCTTCGACGTGAACTTCGAATACATAAACCAGATGAGGTAGATGTTGCCATCACTCGCTGGTGGGTTCGTCAAGCAGACATACCTTTCTGCAATGAAGTTCTCTCACATTGTCGCCGTTCTATCTGCTCCGTTGGCGGTAGCTGCGCTTCCGGCTGCTGCCCCTGAAGCCAATGCCGTTGCTGCTGCCGAGCAGGACGTTTCCAGCACTTTGCTGGAAGCCCGCCAAAACCGTCGGCCTACTCCATGCGTGAGAAAGACTGATCCTGCCCCTACTCAGGAGGAGACAGATGCTCGGTTCGCCGAGTTCGTCGAGGTGTTTGTCGGCTCCAGAAAGAACATTAGCCGTGCCTTTGAGTTCATCGTCGACGACTATATTGTAAGTTTCCTGGACATGCACCGCGTTATTTCTGCTAAGACATGATCCCTAGAACCACAACCCAATGGCTCAGAATGGACACGCATCGGCCTGGAGCATCCTTGGAAACATGTGGGGCGGCATTCAACACCGCTACATCCGAAGCACCATCCGCGGCAACATGTCGTGGGTAAACTATTCGGCTCCTGGCTTTGGAACCATTGTCGACCGGTTCCGGTGGGAGGGAGGATGCATTGTCGAGCATGTAAGTGTTTAAGACGCCATGAGAGGCTTGGGTCGAACAGAAGCTAACCCGACGCAGTGGGACCAAGGAGAGCGCTATCCCGCGAGGAAGTAAGGGACACTAACATCGGGTGTACCGTAAGGATGTCTTGCTGTATATAAGAAAATGAGTCCGTGAGAGAGAAATAGTGCTTGTATCCGCTTCCGGTCTATTATTACATGGTGGAAGTGTAGAATAGGTACCTTATTTCCGTAACCCATGGGCAACCTTGAGAGCATGGATGCTATCTTCGTCCCACTGCCTTTTCTGTGACAGGACGCCCAAGTACATAAATGTATGGGGACATCCCAAGTACCGCTTGAGAGTGACCATGGTGCCGTTAGCAACAAGTTTCATTGCATAGGCTTCTCCCTCGTCCCGCAGCGGATCCACTTCTGCGGTGCGGATGTAGGTATTACATAACCCACTCCAGTTGGGAGCACGCATGGGGGCAAGCCACCAGTCGGGCCACATCTTTCTGATTTCCGGCAGCTTGTCTCGCGGCATGCACTGGTTGCCAAAATACTTGATCCGCTTCCACGGCAGGACTGGCCCCTGGTGGAACTCGTGGAAGGACGGATAGGGAGATTGGGTGTAGTAGTCGAGACTGAGGCAGTCAGTGGTGGGGGGCACGGTGGGCATGCACAGCTTAAGCGGGATCCCGGCATCTCTAGCCATGTGCTGCAAGACTAGCGAGATGTGACCGCCAGCGGAGACGCCGCCGATCGAGATGGAGAAGGGGTCGACGTTGAGGCTGACATGTTCATCACGGACCCAGTTGAGCGCGGCCCATGCATCCTGGATGCACTTGCCCCATATCGTTTCTACCACGACCGAGTCAGAGCTGGCACCCGGCCCGAACAACATTTGTGAGACTGTACCTGGACAATGCCGATAGTTGACATCAACCACGACAACACCGGCCCTGCGCATCACCAAGCACAGACCCGCCTCTGAGTGCAGGTCACCGAGCACAAAGCCGCCTCCGTGGAAGTTTAGGTGCACAGGATGGGGGCCGGGTCGCACAACTCCTCGCTCGTCTTCAACCGGGTGGTAGACTCGCACCGGGATGCTTGTGCCATCTTGCGAGCTAACAACATGGTCACCTACGCCCTTTTCTTTAGAAGAATCGAGAGCACAAGGCGGCTGATGTTTTTGAGGACTTTTGCGAACCTCCTCAATGGGGATTGTGTGGGCGGGCGGTTGCTTGGCGATGACGTCGATGAAATACTGGAGAAATTCGGGGTCGAGTTTGGGGAGGATGTGCTCCTCAATCAGATCCAGTCCATCATTTGTAGGCTGCGACGCTCCTGGTTTTGGCACGGCGTGGCCGGCAAGGGTCGAGTCGAGATTGCTCATTTTGCCTCGTGCAGTTAACAAGAGGGGTTCGGACGGTTGCTGTGTGACTTTAAAATATCACGACGACCGGGACCTTGCAAGTGTCTCCAAATCCCAATTGGAGATTCGGATGATCCTCCTCGGCCCTTGTCGGCTTCCCCACAGTTCGGCACTTATACTCCGCATTACCCCATCATTTGCACAAGTCGCACAACCAAGCAAACTGTTGCAGCTGGCGGGGTCTACCTGCCTGCTTACTAATCAGCCGCTGGTGCCAGTCAACCGCTAGGCATCAAAGAGATAGGCATCTTCCCAGCCAGAACAGTTCATGTCAAGGCCCTTTATAAGGACAAGCTACGACGTTATATTGCTTGTATTGCTCTTCTTAAGTGAGAGATGTTTATCCAGGGTGCCGTCCTCTCCATCTGCCTATGTACTTCATAAAACCCCACCGCGAAAGCTTGGCTTTGTGCATCGCGATCTTCACCTTCCTGAGACCATGATCACAATCGGATTTCTCGCTTGCGATCCGTCGCCTGCAGCTATTTTCTGAGTAAACAGCAAACCCACTTCTCAGCATCACCATCTTTGTCTTCCCATCAAGAACGGAGCATACCGTCTTGTTGACTACTTTTCGGTCATCGTGACACCTCTCTTCAACTTAACTACCTCTCCGAACCAGTGCAATGGCGTCAAGACAACAAGCTTCGTTGCTGAGGAATCAGGATGACGAGGAACGAGACTATGACATGGCACTTCGTAATTTCCAGAGCGGTGCCTATCGCGACTGGCCCAATGAAGCAGGTGTAAGTGACGAGCTCATCATGGACTGAGCAACCATAGTTAACCATGCATGTGATCAGTTTGAGGGCCTTGGTGAAGAACGAGGTCCCGTTGAGGTTCCAGTTTCAGGATACATTCCCCTGTGGGCAATTGGCAGTCTCTATCGCACAGGGCCGGGCATCTACACCATCGATGACACTCCCAAAGGAACATACCGCACCGAGCACTGGTTTGATGGCCTGGCGCATACTCACCGCTTCGACATTACCCCCGACCCCGATAATGAAAGCAAAGTCAAAGTATTTTATTCGTCTCGTCGGCAATCGGACCATCTCGTCGAACACATTAGGAAAACTGGAAGCATGAAGTACCTCAGCTTTGGTCAGAAGCGCGACCCTTGTCTCGGATTGTTCTCAAAGGTTATGGGGATGTGGCAAGCTGCGATGATCCCTCACGGGGAGAAATGGATGGAGAATGTCAGTGTGGCTATTTTGCCGAACCCACCTGGACTGGAATCGGAATCAGGCAATTTGTTGGGCAACAAGACTACGGTCGGGAGGGCACCCCAGTCAGGGGGCCACCGAGTCCCTCTCCCCCAAAGTGTGTGGGCAACAACTGACAATAATCTAATGAAGCAAATGGACCCTGAAACCCTAGAGCCCATCGGCTTTGCAACACAGTCGGCGTTTCACCCCTCACTCAAGGGGCCTCTTTCATGCGCCCATCCACAAAGAGATCCCGTGAACGGCGACATCTACAACTTTAATCAAGACTTTGGAAGAGAGACTGTCTATCGAGTCTTTTGCGTCAGCGCATCGACGGGCCAGACCGAAATCATTGCCGAGCTGAGGGGAGAAGGTGTGCACGCAGCCTATATTCACAGTTTCTTTCTGACGCAGCACTTTGTTGTCCTTTGCATTCCAGCGTCGCATATCGGATGGGGAGGAGTCAAGATCCCTTGGGCCGGGAATATCGTCGACGCCATGGAGCCTTTTGATGAGTCCAAGAAGATGAAGTGGTTTGTAGTTGACCGCACCAACACAAAAAGAGGGATTGTGGGACGGTTTGAGTCCGACGCGGGCTTTTTCTTCCATTCGGTGAATGCATTCGAAGAGGATGATGGCAGACGGATCGTTTGTGACATGATGCGGTATCGGAACCTCGACGTCATTCAGAAGATGTACTGCGACGTTATATTGCAGAGGGATGGAGCTACCGAGCGGTTTTGGGAACTTGAGGAGAGGGCGAAGGGATCAATGCTTAGCCTCACAAGGTTTTCCCTATATCTGGAACAGAGCAATCCGACGGGATTTGTGCCGGTTGAGAAAATATTTGCAATACCTGCTCCGCACGCGGGAGAATTGCCAACAATCAATCCGCTCTTTGCGACACGCAAGCACCGATATATCTACAGCTTGCCTTATCAGGGCAGGAGCACCATGATGGATGGAATTGTCAAGACAGACACACAAACTAGGGAGGTTCTGTTTTGGGATATTCCAAAGGGACACAGTCCTGGCGAAGCTATCTTTGTACCGAGACTACCAACAGGTTCCAACACCGAGCAAGAAGAGGATGACGGAGTGCTTTTAAGCATTATTCTTGATGGGTTTGACAAAACAAGCTACCTTTTGTGTTTGGATGCAAAGACAATGAAGGAGCTAGGACGTGCCGAGCTTGCATTTGCGATTGGGCTGGGATTTCACGGTGTGCATGTTACTGCAAGTAGTAAAGAGATAGAGAGGGTGACTGGATCTTTTACGCGAACATAGTTGAATAAAAAGACTCTGAACGCCCCCATCTCTCTTCGTCCAAACCCCCCCAGTCTGGTGCTTTCTGAAGCTATATTCTCAATCATGCATACCATGAGCTTCCCTTGGCTCCTCATGCCAGACTGACATGGTAGCAATGGAGTTTTGAGTGAATGGGTTGATGTCACATACCTATGGAACCAACCTTGCGCTTCATCAACTACATAGCCATTTCCAGCCGCACCCAACACCCACGTAATTGAAGGCCCGGAAATTGAAGCCCTCGCAATCGAGCCTCTTGTGGGTGGTGGTGCTAAGCGCCACATCAATTTCAACACTCATATCCAACCCTACCCCAGCTGGGGGGTTGCACGGTTGGCAAAAAGAGGCGCTTCAGCGATCAGACGAACAGGGATGATCTGGATCCATTTGAAATAAGGCGGCTGAATTCAGCTGACAAAAGCGAGTAGGTTTGTGTGAGGGATATCGCTGCTGGCGATCGTGTAGGGCTCGCCGATCACTTTGATCTTTTGACATGGTACCGACCGACGGCTGGAACTTGCTTTGTTGGTGTGTGAGTCTCGAGTGCAGCAAACTCCAAGGTGAGAAAATATGCATGTATTGCTGATTACTATTGTGTGTATTGCCATCATGAAATGCAACCCCTTCAATCATCTCAGATCTTTTCCCTTATGGTCTCTTCCCTTACCGAGTTGCCCCCTTCCAGATCCACACGCACCTCTGTGGTCCGCCAGATTTCTGCCTCCCCGTTCTGCCCATTCGACCCGAGAATGTCCTCCTCGCTCTGCGCCCGGCTGCTGGTCAAGCTCTTCATTCTGATCGCGCCATTGACGTTGCTAACCCCGCTGGTCCCATTCATCCGGCCGTACCCGGTGGCGCCTGTCTTCTTGGTGGACGCGTTGGCAGTCGTCAATCCAAAGTGCTGCAGCACCTGCTGGAAAGGCTTGCGCAGGCAAGGAATGCAAGCGGCGATGAAGGCGACCTGTTCCTCCACCAACGACCACGTACCCATCTGGATACCCTCCAAGTTGGGGTCTTCGGTAAGACCAAAGTTGGCCGCCATGGTCGCCTTGACGATGGACGCCGCAGAGGCGAAGATACCCAGAGCCATGAGGACACCGATAACAATACGCTCCCGGAGGGGGATCTGAACCTTTCGGAGGAAGGTCACGGGCATGAGGGCGAAGATGACGTCGGTGACAATGTTGAAGCTGGCGATGCAGATCGAGTTGACGCGGATGGCGCCCTTGCTCCAGCACTTTGCGTCGGCGACAAGGCCGAGGAGATCCCACGCGGCGTGGAGGGGAATGCACTGCAGGACGGCGGCCAGGGTGCCGTAGATGCTGACAATTACCTGGAGGGCGATCATGACCCACAGGAAGTGACGGACAGACTTGCGCTGCTCGAGGCGGAGAAGCATGCCGGCGACGGAGATCTTGATGGCGGCCATGGACCAGGCCCAGATGGGCTGGGACAGCACGGCAAGCTTGTTGGAGTAGATCACATCGGCGAGGGTAAAGGTCGAGGGGTCACCGCCGAAGGTGTAGGGGACGGTGAGGATGAGGAGGATGGAGTTGGTCAGGACGAGGACCCAGGCGGCGCTGATGACATAGTCATCCCATCCCATGTGGAAGACCGGGAAGGATCTCGTCCACAACCGGGCGCTGAAAAGGATGAAGGATATGATGTTGAGGGTGACGGCGGCGGCTGCGAAGGAGTGGGCAGCCGTGTTCGCGGCATCGGTGGGTACGGAGGGGATGAGACTTGGATCAGGTGGCCCGGCGAAGGCTCCCGGAGGAGGGCCGCTGGCGCTTCCCGAGGCGCCCGAAGTTGTTGGATCCATCGTCCCGGCGCATTAGCTCACAACACAAACAGCAAAAAAAGCAAACAGACAGCAGCGAACAAAACGAAGGGAGGTGGTGGAAGATCTGCGATGAGATGTCAGGGAGCTGTCATGGCCCTGGATCTGGGGGATCGGCACGCTCTTATCATCGTCCCAGGGCATCGGTTTCGGTTGGTCACCGAGTCCACCATTGCAACCAAGCAAGATCGAATCTTTCACCCGATTCGCAATCCGGGGCTCCATGTCGTCTCCATGTTGATGGATTCCCATGTTGCCTGCCGCAAATCTAGTGGAAAATTTCCCCTCTGGGCCTCGCATTAGCTCAACTGTCGAGGGGGCCAAAGCGCGTCCGAGCACCTGAGGTCTGACCTCGTGTAGGGGTCCGGACATGTCAAAACAGTCAACGCACTGGTGCAACGACATTCGAGATTGCTCTCTCCACCTCGACGCCATGGGTCCAATGGGATGGTTCCCTGATTGCTGGGAATGCCTCGACGCCTCACCTACCTACAATGGCAGCTGGGTGCTCTTCGGCGTGTGTGGGCAGGCACGATGGGCCCGCCTGAGGGCAGTATAGTTTGGTAAGTTTTGGTAGCACACTACAGCTTGAGAATACAACCACGACCTTTTCCCCCTCTGTTTTTGACTGTTCGATATACCACACCTTGTGGCACGAACCCACCGTACTGACGCGCACGTGCTTGAAAAATTCTGCCGAGGATTCGGGCGGACGATGCTAGAATTTTGTCTTCCACTAATCTTTAGCGAACATCGTGCCATCTGCAGGAAACGCAATCAAAAAGCAGTCCCAAGCGATCGTGGTGGAAACGGTGGCGACGGTTCCCCGGGTGCTCCCAAAGAAAAGGGGTCTGGCAAGCAGCAGCGTTGATCCCTGCCATTGGTCTTCTCAGCGGACAATGCGCTCTGTCCTTGCCATCACGCTGCTTCCTTCGTGCTATGTTTGAAGGCTTGAATGGGCAGGTCTCTAAATTCTCACTGCTGTCGCTTTGACGTTTGACTAGTTGACAGCTGCAGCCCCTTCTCCGCCGCTCTTCCCTCAGACGGTTCTTCTCATGCATCCGCGGCTCTCTCCCTACGTACCTTACCTAGGACGGCCCGGGAATAGTGCCCACCCTGGAGCCGAGTGTCCCGTCATCTGTGCGCGAAATTTTTGAGCACTCGCCGACATTTGGCGCTGAAGCATTTAATGTGTTTCTGCTTCGCTTCTTTGGCCCGACAGTGTTTCGTTCCTGGGCCGGGAACAACATGGCGACTTTTCTTTCCCTCTCTTTTTGACTTGGCAAAACCCCCCCACAACTCGGACCGGAGGCCCGGGGCGACCAATCGATCGTCGCCCGAGCGTCGTCGCTGGCGAGATCGACGTGTCCCGGGGACGGTGATGAACTATCTGTTGATGGCTAGCCGGGCTCGGACCTGGCCCAGATTTTCGTGACTGGTAAGGTCGATCCAATGCAGAGTCAGCGGGGTTGTGAGCTTTTTCGGGTTGGGAGCAGAGCGGAGGTGGTGGTGGATGGGGTGGCCAGTGGTCCGTTGCGCTGCAACCGGAAGGTCCGTGTGGTAGAGGGTGAATCCCTTTCGAGCTTCATGGACTGGAGCACGCCGGAGACAAGGTCCCTTGCTGCGACCTTACGGGGCTGAGGGAGCAAGCGGTTGCGAGGAGAAGGAGACCACGGCTTTCCGAAGCCGGTCTAGCCCCTGGATCTACACAAGAATTGCCCATCTCATCTTGTGCTATCACACTCACCAAAGCGCCGTTCTGGGTAAACCAAACCGATGAGCTGAGAGTAAAGCCGCATCGGCCCGTTCCTTTTCCAGGTCGTCTTCTGAAGCCATTATAGCCTTGACAAGAGGCTGTAGATAGTAGCTCCTGCACGGTATTCTCCTCCGGTGCTTTTTCGTTTTGCACACGTCTGCCCTACGAGATGACAGCAGTTGGGTCGTCAGAGGTGCGTCCATCAGGGCGGTGTACTCGACAAGCAGTATATTGTGCAACATGCTCGGGGCATGGTCGAAGCCCGCAGGCCATGGGCCTGAACGGGGACTGTGGAGATGAAAGCGCAACTCAAGATCAGCGAGCGGGTTGAATATGCCGGAATATTTATACAACATATGTCAAGGGGCAGTAGCATCATCATTTCAATGAAAATAACCGCAAAAAGTTGAGTGGAATGGACACAACAGCATCGGGCGAGTATAATTTGGGGTTTTCTACGATTGGAGACTCGCGCTGGTCAAAACTGAAATTGGGCCTTTGTTGATATAGGTTTTCCTGGGCTTTGCTTCACACTCTGAAGCAGTACCCCTGAACTCTCTAGGCCGTTGTTCCTAGGTCTATTATGAAAATAAAGAGACAAATAGCAAAGACATCAATGATGGCATCATCTTCTCTTCAAGATCAACACCCACTCATCCACCTATCAAGAAAGATAATGTGTCTCGCCTCTCTCCTTCGTGCCTCCATCAGTTTAACCCCCACTTTGCACTCCATACATCAAGGCGTGGTGGCAGAGTGGTCTAATGCGCAAGACTAGAAATCTTGTTCCTTCGGGAGCGTCTGTTCGAATCAGGCCCACGTCGTTGACAATTTCCTTTTTGTCCTGACCATCTTCTCTTGTAGCGCAGCCTCCACTCTGTCTCCCCAGGCCCACCCCATCTTTCGATCAAGCACACAGACAGGGACACCACGCCACACCACACAAAGTCAATTCCACTTCCCCTGATTACAACCTGGAAGTGCTCCAACTTTTTAAGCGGATGTAGGCAGCTACCTAGAACCTACATGTACAAGGTGTCAACCTAATATAAAACAGAAACGAATTTGCAGCAGAGATCGATAACCGGAGATATAAAAAAAACCCAAGAGGAGTCCATTTTTCCACAAAGCCCCTATCTACATCCGGAAACTCCTTCGCGAGGTATCTGAAGACAGAAATGACAAAATGATAACAGAGGTGAACCTGTTTTCCCAGACAAATATTTCCAACTTTCAAAGGATAGACAAGAAGTTGTGGTTGTTGATGATGATGTCCCTTCCTATCCCTCCACATAAATAACAGAGCAGGGTCTATATACACAAATGTCCCTCCTCACCCAAACACAGCAAAGGCATGACCAACAGCCCACCCATACACGCGGTCTGTCTCGCGACGACATTGGAGCGAAAATGAAAGGGGAAGGTTTTCCCAGATTGACGACGAGGTGCGGCGCGACACTAAAAAGATTTACGGCCCATAGCAAAACAGAAATAAATACCGGATATGCAAACAGATTCAAGGGAATATCGAAAAACAAGGAAATCACGCGGGTAACCGCTCTAGTCGTACCCGGCGCCACGTTGCCATTGACTGCCAAAACCGTTAGTAAGACTGTTAAGCATCATCCAATATTGAGCTAGAGACTCACTTTCCACCTTGCGGCTTTGGTGGTGACGAAGTCTTTGGTAAACTGCCGTCGCTCCCCGACGCCGTCAAGGGGCTCGGTGCCCTGACACTCCCACTGGGCTGATTTCTCAGGTGGTGGCCTTGTCCACCCGGTTTCTCCGACATGTAGACGCCGCCTGGAACAATCATGGAACTCCTCACGCTATTCCTCGCCGAGTCCCTGACGCTCTTGAGGGAATACCGATTGGGACTCGTGTTGGATCCTGCTGTGCCAGGGCGTGGGAGCCCACCGACGTTGGCAGGGCTCGACCGGGCACTCTCGTCATCGTCCAAGTCGATCGTCTTGCCAGTTCCGCGCGCTGTAGCGGCCAACGCATCCAACTCCGAGGTCGTGGCGATGTGCGTCTGGGACTTGATGAAGCTCGTGCGGTCGTCGTTCATAAACTGGTATCGTGTGTCGGGGTTGTTGTGGAACAGAATGATACCCGTGGTAATGATGAGCATGAGCAGGAGGATCAGCGAAAAGGCGGCGTTGGCAATCCAGAGAACGACACCAACCACTCCAATCACAAGACCGGGAAGACCAAACACGTCGGTAAAAACGAAGAGGAAAATGGCGTTGACAAAGTTGAGGGAGCAAATGGCTATGTTGAAAGAGTTTGTCGACTTGTCCATGAAGGGACGGATCACACTGACGGTGATGAGGGCAGCTGCCTCAATGATGATCAGGGCGACAGCCTGGACGACACCGGAGCGTTGGGCCAGCGCAATAAACATGCCCTTGACCAGGATGTAGACAAGTGTCGGGACGATGAAATAGTAAGCCGAAGCGCGGTACTGAACGTACAAGAAGCCCCACTTGTTGAGAACGCGAGGCTCCGAGAACAGAATGTAGGCTGGGTTGCGGTGGAGCGCGACGCTGCGCCGGGCGATTTGGATAATTTTGAAAGCAGCGTAGCTCAAGGCGCCGAGCATGCTGAAAAGGAAGAACACGGCGAGAACAACGGCGCCCGGCGAGTCGACCTGCGTAAACTCCCACAGGCAAAGGATAACAACAGGGGGGAAGCAGACCAAGGTAAGGCGGAAGAGGATGCCCTTCAAGGTTGTCAACCAGCCGGTCCTGAACTCGGAAAACCGGTCGCCCTTGGAAACCTTGAGCCTGACAGCCAATTCCACGCCCACCTTGAACAGCAGTACCAGAATGACCAAGACCAAGCACAAGATGTAGAAGAAGGTGATGCCGGTCAAGAACAGGTTGGTTGTCTCAATCCGGGCCCGGAAGGCAACTCTTTGGATACCATAGACGATGTAGCTGCCCCATTCGGTCTTTTCGTAAGAACGCTTTCCAAGAGTGCTGGCGTGGTGAGCAATATCGGTCACCCTTTTCTGAATGGCCTGGACGGCAGGCTCCAGCACCGGCAATGAGCGCTTCATCTTTTCAACCTGAACCGACACGATGCTGAGTGTGTCGAAAATGACGGAGGCTGTTCCGCCAGTGGAGCGCTGGTACCATGTCAGAATGGTTTGGATGAAGCCGACCCTGATGATACCCATAGTCCACTGGAAATCCTGAGTCCATGACTGCACGACGGGAGGTAGCGAGACGCTGCAGAGGCCGATCATGGCCTGAGACTGGAAGTAGGCGAGCAGAGCCAAGGTGTTGGCAGCAATATGGGAGGCGGCATTGGTGAAGCCCAGGCCCGCAACGATGGCGGATGCGATGAAAGCCACAAGGATCACCGCAGCCGCAGCCCATTTCACGCCAATAAGATCAACAGTCTTTCCGTTGGATACATCGGCCTCCAGACACGCGATGGTCTGACCCTTGTTCTCTCCGGACGTCATGTTGATGTAGACCCTGACAGTCGCATCCAAGTCGGGGAATGTGTAGGCAATGCCTGGGATGACATCGAGCGCCTCTTTGTCGAAGGGTCCCAGGTTGAAGGGGTGCGTCATCTTTCCTGATACCATGGGACATAACCCCATGATTTTGGCCTCGCAGGGATCAACCGTGGTTTGAATTGCCTTGTAGCCATAGGCGATGATGGTGATGTCGAACAACACATAGCCCTCGATGGATGATGTGGCCAGCAGGTCGATTGCAACGGTCCTGTTGTTGGGCGTGAAGACGACATCGAAGAGACTGGCTGTGAAGCCCGAGCTTGCCTGACAGGCGGCCAACGAACTCGATCGGAGGACAGATTCGGCGGTGACAACGACGGGTAGAAGGAGGGTAGCGAGAGTGGAGACGGCGAAAAGAGGGTTCAAAGATGGAAGCCGCATCTTGGTTGATGGGAAGCCCGGCCGAGGCGGAAGGGCTTTGGATCGGTCGGGATTATGGGATGAAGGCTGGTCGGAGCTTGTTAATGAGTGGTCGACGGTTTGATGGCGGCTGGCGAGCAAACGAGACGGTCGGCGACGGTGTGGTTTTGGCCCAGTTTTTGTTCAGACTTGCATTCTCCTGTCGTGGTTCCAACGGTGGCCAGGCCTGAGTCAGCGCGAGGATGGCCGGGCGGCCCTCGATAACGGGCGACGGCAACGGCGACGGCGACGGTCGGTCGTTGGTTCGAGGTTCCGAATCGATGGTCGTGCGCATTCAAGCTTTCGAAAGTGTTCGTCCCAATTGGATTAGCGGAGATGGAGCGGGCGACGGGGGCTGGCTGGGGTTAGGTGAGAAGGGCACAAGAGTAATAAACGAGTGACAGAGATTGTTGTTGACAGCGACCGACAGATTCCTAGCACGATGCCATCCAACAGTTCTTGGTAAGACAGACAGATCAACAAAGAACAGATCAATTGCGCAAAAGCTAGAAGGAGGTTGATGGCTGATTGATGATGGATGGAGACAGGCAATTCGATGGCGAGTGGGGGGGAGGGTCTGCCGAAAACAGCGCCGCCTGGGAAAAGCTCGTGTCAAAGCAGTTGGGCAGATGCAGCGACCAGGGGCAGCCATGGCAGCACAAAAACAAAGGCACGGTGGCTGAGCCGCCCACGGGGAAAACGAGAATCCCGTCGAATTCAGCGTCAGCCAACAGTCAATTTCCTGCCGATGCGTCCTTGGCACACCCCGCTATGCCCCTTTGGGTGCTTATCGCCCTTATCGTGTCCTCCAGGATGAGGTCATCTGCAGAAGCGAGAGATCAACAGCCCCGTTTGGTTGGCTGGGAAAAGGCCTCGTCAGCTGAAAAGAGCGGGGCCGTCCCGATGCTTTGAGATGAACCACTTCAAAACTTAAAACTTCTACGAGATCAAACGAGAAATATGAAAAGCCACAGCCTCCTCCTACCAACCACATCTCCGTATGCCGATATGCCACCAGCCATCCAACATACAAACACACGATCCAGTTGATTCCAGCGGACAAAAATTCAGGGCTGAGCTCTGCTGGCTAGCCGGATTCGCCTGATTTGTAGTTGGGATGGCGCGAGCAGCGTATGAGCTGTTCCAGACAACCTTCGCGGTCTCCACTTTCTACAACAGGCTCTACAAGCAAGTAAGCAGGGTTGAAGCAAGCCTTGACATGACAGAGGTGCGAGATAGCATCTCCAGGATGAGGATCCATGTTGCGAGCTACTGCCCAAGTAACTATATGTAATCAGTATGTAGACGACCTGCCACCAGGTTGTTCGTAGTGTATCTAATCAATATCTAATTAGCAGGAATGATACGGTCACCGTAAGGTAACTAGAACTGCATACCGGGACATAGCCGCCACTGCTTTTTGGCCTTGTTGACCCAACAGTCGCTTTTGTCGGTGTTTTCATCTTCAGACCAGCTTGTTGAAGATAGCAGAGGGGTGCCCTTTGCGAATATCCTTGAGGACGCTTCTGTGGCGTTTTCCACTCATACTGGAGAGTATGATGCAATGAGAAGAAATTGAATGAGGCATATGGATGAAATAGGATGAGGGGGAAGCTGCATTTGTTGTATTCGCGAAGTGAAGCGGGAAACGCGATTAAAATGTTGGCAATTTTAATGGGTAAGCCTGGAAAGCAGAATCTGACCGTACCTTACCACTGTACCTCACCACTGGCGAAAATCGACAATAACTACCCTCACGACTCTCTCGAACGAGCTACTGGAAACGATATGTGATGCACTCCGGGAAATGCCTGAGGGGTGCCATCCAGCAATGGAGAAGGGCCTTGGGGCCCTGTACACCCTCACCCTCACCAGCCACAGGCTTCGTGGTGTTGCCGAATATCATCTCGACTCGGGGTGGAAGAGTACAAGGCACTGCCTCTGGCCTGGGCGGCTCATACCGGCTGTGCTGTTACATTCTCAAGGCCCTTGGCTACGGCGGTGCGGATCCGAACACTGAGTTCAAGTTTTTCTACTCAGGCCCGTTCTGGATATCGTTCAAATGATATCTTCGAACGTGATCTCCAACGTGGTCTCACCACAAGAGTACATGGAACGAGGGTGTTTCCTCAACCCCTCAAAACAAACTATCTCGTTATGCACGAGGTATCCCGTCTCGTTATGCAGGACATATCACTCCTTGGTGCCTTCAGCTTGATGTTCTCGTGCCAACCCAACGCATCGTCTTTGGTGACGAAAGTTCGCACCTCTCGTGGGCCGACGCCGATCATTTGCCCCCTGGAAACCACCAACACAACGACCGAGACATGGAGGACGACCGGCAGGGCCTTGGGCAATGTGTCGAACTCAGCGAAGGCGATGGCGAGTGGGAAGCCCAGATGGTCGAGTCGCGCGAGAGGGTTACTCGTGCATACACCGCGTTGCACATAGCGGCCGGGCGGGGGCATCTCGAAATCGTGACACTCTTGTTGGACCATGGCGCTGATCTCCAACGCCAGTCTACAGGGTTCTGCGGTTGCTCGCCTCCGCGTCCGGAATGGGAGGAGATTGAACGCGAATGGGCCTACGACTATTAGGAGGGTGGAGAAGAGACATGGACACCACTCCACGTCGCCTTGTGCTCTAATAATGACGAAGTAGCTCAGCTCCTCATCTCGCGCGGGGCTAACGTCAGAAACACGGGCAGCTTAAAGTGGTCTGTATATCACCAATTGGCCTTTTACGGCAAGCTCGACTTCCTCCGCATTGTCCTAGACAGGCTTCCCGTGCAGGTTGCCGAGATTCGCGACGTAGACGAGACAACTCCATTGACCTATGCCTGCTTGGGGCACCATGTCGACTCTCTCGTTCCGTTTCTCCTCAGTTATGGTGGGAGAATCAACGAGAAAACCTACATTAGCCTTTGTTTCCAAAAATGCGGTTTTTGCGAATCCACTGGGCCAGGCATTTGCTTTGGGCTACTTACAAGACGCTCTCCAGCTTCTCAAATACAGTTCCGATCCGACAGACGACATTCAGGTGGAAACGTCTGAGGCTCCAGTTGACAGGGAATCATGGACTCCTCCGTTAGTTATGTGCTGTTTGCCGGGACTCAGTAATGACAAATCACAAGAAGATGCCCGCTTCGAGTTACTACGTAGACTGGTCAATCCCGAAGGCCCTTTCGATTGGCATATTCCGGGGCCTTACGATGGCCCTGGATACTACCCCTCTGTCGCCACTTTTCTTTCTTTGGCTGCTTGGTGTTCTATCGAGGGGCTTGTCAAGATGTTATTAGAAGCCGGCGTCGACGTCAATTCGTGTGACAACCTGGACAGGAATGCGTTGATGACGTTGCTGGGCGACGTGTTTTCATGGGAGGCAGACCAGCTGGTGTTTCGCGGTCATTTGCATTTCCCTCAAGAAATGGAAGACAACGAGTACTACGACTCTGTTCTTGAGATGGTTCGACTGCTGCTAAATGCCACAATTCATCCCAATCATCAGGACGCGTTTGGAAGAACTGTGCTGCACCACCTGTTTATGGCGCAGCCCGGCTGGCGACCAGACCGGTTGAAGCCTGACGAGGCAGGGGAAATCGTTGGATTGCTTCTTGCAAAAGGCACAGACCCCCTGATTCGAGCCAAGCAGGGCTGCTCCGCCCTAAGGAGAGCCGTCAGGAGCAAATGCAAATGGGCTCTGGAGGTCATGTGCCGAACATGCCGGTTTGAACTGAGGGACGCTTTCCCCACTCACGACGAGGTGTTTGATGTGTTGGTCGACTGCGACTGCGACCGACGACCTGAATCCGAATTGCCGCGAAATCGTGATGTGGAGGGGGGCGCATACGACGAGCTCGCAGAGTATTGCGGTTATAGACCCGCAAAGGATTATGATCGTGTACGTACACATCACTACAGTGATTATCCACTTGAGTCTTTCGATTCGGGTGGGCGATTTTTCTGCAGCAAGAGCCAGACCGAAGAGCTGGTCCAGTTGCTGTGCAATCTCGACCGCACAGCCAGTTGCGATCGAGGCCAGGAGATCGGCCATGACGCGGGCCACGCTCTTCGCTACGCGGGTTCTGTTATCAGGGAGCGTTCGGAAGAGGCGCTGGAAGCAGGTGCCGCGTCAAGCCGACTCCGTCAAAGACAGAACTAGGCAAAAAAGCCAGCACGGCACGAAAGACAGCAGAGAATACATCATTAGATACAACACAGGAGACAAGTCAAGTGTTGTGAGGCTCCATGGTCCTTTTCTTTACAGGCCTTCTCTTTGCTCGCCGATATGCATTTGTGACCAGCATGTATACATAGCTACCTACCTTCAACTACGCACACTTTGGGCCACTGCCTTGCTTTTCTTCCCTTTCTTTCTTTCTAGATACATCACTAATATCACTTGCCCTGGTCTATACCTTTGGTGCCTCCACGCCAATGGGGTCGTTATATTTCGGGGCACTTGACTTGCGAGGAATTTGGTTGGGCAGTGATCGCCGTTAAGTTCATCGCTTTGGCGGTTGCCAAGAAGTCAGCGTGCTCGTGCTCGTGCCAGGAGGGTTGCTAAGCATGGAAAGGCCTTGTGTTGTGAGGATATCTCTGTGAGAGCGAGGTAGATAGCCTCATAGCATGACCGACAACTACGGCTACTCATCGGTACTCTCGGAGTCTTCCCATTCGTTGGTGGGGTTTGACGATGGAAGTGGAGCAAAAAGGCATTGTGGGTCAGGGGCAGGGGCAGGGGCAGGGCAGCAGGGGTTACTATTATTATCGGCGCTTATCGATAAAACGGTCCAAAAAAATGGCCCAAGAGTCTGTCGCAGAGCGGCCACTGAGATTTTCTTTGCGACTTTGCGCACACCACACCCCGGTCGATCCATTTATCAATCGACTGTTTTTTCCGCTCTCGCAACCCGCCAACATGTCTGCCGGAAAGAAGCACGCCCGTCCCGACGGGGAGGAGCAGGCCGTTCGCTCCTCCAAGAAGGCAAAGACCGACGAGGTTGCCAATGCCACGACCGACGCCGATGGCTCCGACTTGAAGGCCGAGAAGAAGAAGCAGAAGAAGAAGGACAAGAAGGAGAAGGAGAAGAGGGAAAGGGGGGAGAAGAAGCAAAGGAAGGAGAAAAAGGAGGACGCCGACGAGCAAAAAGACACCGAGATCCCCGACGCCGACGTCGAGTCCGGGCCCAAGGCTGAGAAGACGGACAAGAAGAAGGATAAGAAGAAGTCTAACAAGTCCAAGTCATCCGAGGAGCCTATCGCCAGCGCTTCCGATGACGAGATAAAGGCTTACCTGACCAAGGAGGAGATCAAAGTCGAGGACCCCTCCAACAGCCCTCTGCAGCCCATCCTCAAGTTCACCCAGCTTCCCACCTCCAAGCTCATCGCCAAGAAGCCCTTCGCCGCCTACAATGCCCCCACTCCCATTCAGGCCGCTTCCTGGCCCTTCACCCTTGCCGGCCGCGATGCGATCGGTATTGCCGAGACGGGTTCTGGAAAGACCATGGCCTTCGCTCTGCCCTGCGTCGAGAAGCTTAGCATCCACTCCAAGAAGGCGTCCAAGGACTACCGCAGCACCCGCCCACGCGCCGTCATTGTGGCACCCACCCGTGAGCTGGCCATGCAGACGCACGAGGCTGTCTCTGGGCTGGCTTCTCAGGTCGGTCTCACGGCCGTCTGCATCTACGGTGGCGCGAGCAAGGATGACCAGCGCGCGCTTCTGCGCAAGAACAGCGGTGCCGATATCATCACGGCGACCCCCGGCAGATTGAAGGACTTCCTTTCCGACAACACTGTCAACCTCGGCGACGTCATGTTTGCCGTGCTCGACGAGGCCGATCGCATGCTGGACAAGGGTTTCGAGGACGACATCAAGCTGATCTTGGGCGGCTGCCCGCCAAAGGAGGAGCGCCAGACGCTGATGTTCACTGCGACATGGCCGACAAGTGTGCGTGTTCTCGCCGAGAGCTTCATGGTCAACCCCGTCAAGGTCACCATTGGCAACCGCACTCGCGCCGGCGAAGATGGGAACAGCAGTGGTACCGTCGAGTTGCAAGCCAACAGCAGAATCGAGCAAAAGGTCGAGGTCGTCGATCCCCGGGGCAAGGAGCAGCGGCTCTTGGAGCTTCTCCGTGAAGCACAGAAGGGCTCTGCCAAGAACGACAGGATATTGGTGTTTTGCCTGTACAAGAAGGAGGCGGTGCGCGTGGAGCAGTTCCTCGAAAGGCGAGGCATCCGCGTCGCTAGTATCCACGGTGACCTCCGACAGGACCAGCGTACCAAGAGCCTGGAGGCCTTCAAGGCCGGTACCACATCGGTGCTGGTTGCCACAGATGTTGCCGCCCGTGGGTTGGATATCCCCGAGGTTAAGCTTGTCATCAACGTCACCGTAAGCCCACTGTCGCCCCATGACAAAATCACCCAGGTGACTGACCTGTCTTAGTTCCCCTTGACCATCGAGGACTATGTCCACCGCATTGGCCGAACAGGCCGTGCCGGAAAGACAGGCAAGGCCATCACGCTGTTCACCGAGCACGACAAGGCGCACTCTGGCTCGTAAGTTTCCGCTCTCCCGCATATGATCTCTTGGTGGCGTCACCCTGACACTGACCGTCTCCGCCCACAGCCTCGTCAACATCCTCAAGGCCGCCAAGCAAGACGTGCCAGAAGATCTCTTGAAGTTTGGCACCACCGTCAAGAAGAAGGCCCACGACTCGTATGGTGCTTTTTACAAGGACGTGGACATGACCAAGAAGGCGACCAAGATTACTTTCTAATTGCTTATACTATCGTACATAGAAGGGAGAAAACAGCGTGCTATTTTGCTTTTGGTCAATTACGTCTCTACACCTGCCTCCGTCCTTTGATCGCTTGGAATGCAGACAGTAAAAACTGTCGTTCGGAAAATGCCCTGGATTTTTTTTTTGGTCACTGTCAGCCGTTATCATTTCTCCCATTTTCACGAGGCAACGGGTCAACTCACAGCACCCCCAAAAACACCACCCCCACCCCGGCAATCTTCCCCAAACCGATCAACACCTCCTTCACCCCTCCCTTGCTGGTGAAGTGCAACCCCCTAACCAGACTCCCCGCCACCACGGCCGCCCCGACCCCAACCCCGCTCGGCAACACCTCCCTCACATCCGCTTCCACCCCCCTCTGTTTGAACCAGTTGTTGATGAACCCCCAACACCAAACGATCCTACAAGCCATGTTCACCCCATTCGCCCAGACCAGCCCCTCTGCGCCCATGTCGAGGACCTTGAGGGTGATGAACCCGGCCGAGGCAAACACGAGACTAAACAGCCCCATCCAGGCTGACTGCTTGTGGACCTGCTTCTCCGTGGCGACGGACGAGACGAAAGCCTCGGTTATACCGTTGATGGCGAGTAAGGGGATGTAATAGGTGTATAGAGAGAGGGTGGCACCTGCACCGGACGTGAGCCACTGCTTTCCTGCCACGAGGGACAACAACAAAGGAGCAGCGACGGGGGCGAGGGAGGTGATGATCAGGGAGAGGAGGAGGTAGGATTTGAGGAGAGAGAGGAGGGACTGGGAGGCTGTTTTTTCCGGGGTGGGCGCGGTCTCTGTGGTCTGCTTTTCGGAACTTTTATCTGAAAGAGGGGTGGAAGGCGAGGAGAGCAACCGGGAAAAGTAACTGCGCGAGGACTCCTCGATGGGTTGGAAGACGAGACGGGCGAGGAGACCGCCGTAGTTGTTTGCTAATGCATAAACACCCTGCGAAGTGGGGGAGGAGAGGATAGAGACGAGAAAGGTGTCGCCTTGGGTGAGGAGGTGTTTTAAAACCGACTGAGAGAGCAAGGAAGACGTGAGTTTGAGGGTGGGAGGGTGGAGGTACTGCCCCGAGGAAGAAATTGGTCGGGGAAGCAAGGAGAAATTCTCTCTTGATGCAAGACCGGAGCCGCTGTGGAGATAGACGAGGAGAAGACCGGTTCCGTAGCCTAGCTGGCCGAGGGCGAAGGGCAGCACTCCAAGAGACAACCCCCGACGGGCACCATAGACGGCTGAGCCAAGGGTGATGGTGCAACGGAGGAAAGTAGCGATGGACTCGGCGGCGGCGCGAGCTGAGAATTGTAGCCGGGTTTGCATCACCATGAAGGCTGGTTCGGAGAGGAGTTCCACGATGGCGGCGAGGGCGTAGATGTAGAGTGCCACGACGAGATTCGGAGCTGAGGCGAGGGTGGAGGTGCTCAGTGAGTTGAGGTAAAGCCAGCCAAAGAAGAAGGACAAGGGAAAGCCTAGGCCAATGGCAAGGTAACCCAGGTTGACGACGGCTTGGGCGCCATTGTTTTGCTTCTTGCTGCCCTGGTCGTCTGAGGAAGAGTCCTGGCGCTGAATGGCCACACGCAGACTTTCCCTCGCAAAAAAGATGACAGAGAGATAGTAAACTTCAAGTTGGGTCGAAACGCCGAGCAGTTGAGCGGTTAGAAAACGCAGCAGGACCTGGTTGGCGATGAAGGTGATGGCACGGGATATGATTTGAAGGAGGATGAGCACGGACGCGCCCCGGAGAAGGCGAGTGCTCGTCGTCGTGCTTGTCGTCATGCTTGCTGCCGAAACAATCAGTTCCGGTTTTGAAGCGGCAGCAACATCTTCCGGAGCGCCCATTCTTGACTTTTTTGGCGGGTTTCGTTGTCGATGTTTAGTTTGAGTTTGATGAAGCTCGTCGATGCGATCGCAACCGCGGTGGGTCGCCACGTGGCATCCCTGTCGCCCCTGAAGCCCCACTAACACCGCCTTCAGTGGCACAACAGGTACCCAGGTAGGTTTAGAAGTCTTGCTAGATACATACCTTGCCTTACTATTAGCCTTCCAGGTCACAGGCACCTGAAGATCCCGTCGGCTTGCACCCGCAGCGTTAGGCAGCGGGCCTTTGTCCTGTCCATAAAGTCCCTTCCATCGTCCAAGTTCTTGGAGAAAGGGGATTATTTTGACGAGGAGATGCATCCGGAAATGTGTGGGGTTGGGGAGAATTATCAGCTCAGAGGAAAGAACGGGGCTATTTTGTATGGGCTGGGGGGTTTATTATCCGAGGACTAGGGCTACTTCAATATGTGAGATAGAGGCTGCGTGTACTTCTTACCCTACCCAAACCCATCAACGGGCAAAACAATGATGGAACCGAGCCGCAACTTCACATTTTGTCCTTCACACTCTGTCCTCCCTAAAGTATCGCGGCGAACCCAAGGGCCAGACCCAAGAAACCTCCAACAATGCCATTCTTTCCGGCACCCGCTTGAACTGGTGTGCTGCTAGAGCTTGTGGGAAGAACCAGGCTGATAGTGCCATTGCCAGTCACCGAGACAGTGAGGCTCGCGGTAGGGGTCGGTTCAGGCTCAACGGAGATGGTCTCAGTTGCACTAGTAACAGTTGTAACCGTCCGAGAAGGAGTTGGCACGATCACGGTCCTAGTATATTCATTGTACAAGGATGTGGCTGCGGCAGCGTTCGTTGCAGTCAAAGAGATGTCGGTAGACGTTGTGACGAGAGTAGAATAAAGGATCGTTGTAGTTGCATCGACGTGATAGGAGTAATAATAGTAGTAGTAATAGTATGTGAAGGTGTACCACGTATAGTCAATGACGTTAATCGTAGAGGCCGGGACCGTGGTGATGAGCGTGGTGATGGTAGGGGCTGGGTCGTTGATGGTGGCGGTAGCCAGGGGGGTTTGGCCGTCGGGACAATTACGGGGAGGCATCACGTACGTCACGCCGTCGGAGCAGCAGATGGCTCCCGGTGGAACGCACTGAAAGGGACCTGGACATCGAAGCCAACGAAGTCAGCAGTCAGTCGTGTCGAAGAAAAGTTCTAGGGGTGTCACTCACCGGGGCACGCAGGAATCCACCCTGGAGTCCGGCAACGCTGACGTTCTTCGAGACGAGCATCTGGCTTGCCAATCGAGCCATCACTAGATGCCGCGGCGGAGCCAAAGAAAGAGTATAGTGCCAGTGGCAAGCAAAAGACTGCCTTTGAGCTGACCATGATGGGCTACTGAAGCGAGGATGTCGAACGAGTGACTTTTTGAGCAAGAAAACCCAAACACAACGGGGCAAGAGGATGATCTATCGAAGACAATCCAACAGACGAGCACTTAGCTCAGTTATTAGATTTATACTCATACTTGCATTCAAGGCCCTGCTCTGCATACCAACACCTCACGGTCAAAATCAGGAACAAGCCCTCTGATCCGAAGCCGCGGAGCGATGTCTGATTCGATTTGCTGGTATTAGCATGCAGCCCTCTCTAACATTATGAGCGTGGCTGGTCCATGCATTCTTTCGGGATTGGACACCTGTATCTGCAAGATTCAGGGAATCCCAGGCAGTCGGGGCTGAAGTTGTCCCGCTTACGACACGATCCTTTATCCAAGACACGCAAAAGCCAGAGCCTTGCGGTTGAGCAACCACACCAATGTGGCCTTGTTTAAATTAAGGATGTGGCGGCGGTGCCCAGCCCGTTTCTGTGTGTAACCACTTGAATAGAATTAGAAGAGATAGTGATTTGTTCAGCATGAGGTACAAGTGTAGACTCGACGACTGTAGCAGGTAGCTGCAATATCCGTGTCGAGGTTGAGGGTTCAGATTTCTGATTTCTCCATTTGCCCCCACATAATCCACACAGTCCACTATTTCTCTCCAATCAGAAGCCTCCTTTGCAGGTCTGCTTTGTCACTTAGTTCGAAGCTTGAGATATAAGCTGCTTGCTCTCAACCTCAACCCTTCTTGATATCTACTTCATACACTAGTCCTCAATCTGCCTTCCACTCTTCTGGCCGTTATTATCATTTCCTTCTGATTCCCATCGCCCGTATTCTATCCAATAGCGAAAAATACCGCAATCTAGCTTATGCAGCGCCGCACGTCTGGCGCATTTTACGGCCACAACAATGTTGTCGCCGCATGATGAACTCCCCCTCCACCCCCCAGGCTCTCTAGCTTTGAATCTAAACAAGAGAAAGAACATCGACAATCCCAACAGACTAAGTGCCATCGTAATGATGTAGATCAAGAAGTAGTATGTTGCTTGTCTAGTACGCTAAGCTAGGCCGTTAACAACAGGTAGAAGTTTGTCATAAAGCCAGCAAAGTGCCTCGAGTTTCTGGAGGGAGAGACAGGCTTATAACTCGGCATATACCACAGCTCGTCTTCATTCCCTTAAGACTCAACAGTTCCCATCAATGTTCAGCCGAAGTTCAGAGTTAGCCAAGTGTGCAGATGTCGCCCTCCACCCAGTTTCAACCGCTTCACTGGCCTTCCTCTCAAACTACGTGCACAAACCCTTGGGTTTCTTCCAGACTTTCCCACGATGGAATTCTGACACAACTCTCACGCAGAGATATATCACAGGTGTTCATTCATATGGTTGTATCCGCACGAGGCTCTTGCTTGATACGCCAACACACCCTGGCGCCCGCAGGTGCGATTGATAGATGTCCACTCTAGACCTCTCCGAAACGGGACCTACGTCTCCTTCTGGGAGCCTTGGCTTTGCCCCGAGGCCGCATCGAGGTCATCTTCTTGCGATGGTGATCTTAGTTGCTTATCCCAATGGCTGAGGTGCGAGAAGTGACTGAAATTACATCACAGGAAAATAACAACCTCCTCGGTTTCCAGTCGAGCTATCCAATCGAAGGCTGAAGATCAGCTCCGTGCGACACAGCAGCATGGTTTGCCTAATGGTACAGTCGCATCCTGACACATATCATCTTTGATTTCCGGTCTCCTTGAGTGGTACAGAGTCGCTCGAGGCCTGCTGCACTACGCCTGCATCGTGGATGGAGCCTGTAAACCAGCCGCTAAAATTTTAGATCTACTCCTCGCACTCAACACGTGGCTCTTCTCCAACGACGCGAGCAATCTCAGCAGCCCGTAGACGTATTCCGAACAGTGAGGTGTGACCCTGTACTATCCTTCACTGCCGTCATAATTATGTTGGTCTAGAGAGCAAAAACAAGAATCAAGCATACCAATATTTGGTAAATCTTCAACAGTGGCCTGGTCTGTCCAAGTACTACTTCCAGATGTCACACGCTGTTAAGATATACAGCAATAAATGTCTATTGGCTACACATAGGACGTGTCGCACACTTCGCTGGCCATCAGGCCCGACAGCCTTGGCAGAGGCAATGGCTTATGAGTATCTAGAAATCACAGGAACAAAGGCGGAAAGCATCGAATGGTTCGGTAAAGACAGTGTTTTGATTGCATGTTACATTATTCTCGGTCTTTGAGGAGAACATAGCACTGCTGGAATTGTTAAGGGGCCGATGGCACACTCAAGTGGGCAAGCTGCCTGTTGTGTTATTTTGAGTTTGTCCTGTAGGCTGATGTGCCGGTTCGAGAGGTCTTGCAAAGTTTGCCGTTGGTGTGGTGAGAAAGAAATGGAAAGAAATCGACGGGAAGGAGGGATTGCTGGTGCAGAGATTGCAGCTAGTCCTCGGCATTGGCTAGTAGGACTCATGGGATGGCCCACCGTGTCTGAGTCCATGCCAATAGACTAAGCGACTTCAACTAGTTGAAGGGCATGGGAGATGATGACGTGTGGCTCGGTCCTTTTGTGAAGAACCTCGCCGTTGATGGTGAGAGCAGAGTCCATGGGCGTCTCACCAGAGAAAGGATCAGGAGCATGGCCCAGATGGGTACCGTTGCGAGTTGTGCTGCACGTGACGTTGTAGTGACTACCGCTTCGAGTGGTCGTGCATTTGAGTTTGATGATACCGGGGACAGAGCCGCCAGCCTATTGCGCGTAGTCAACGGTTGCGACCCAGTCCGTAGATGTAGACGCCACGGTATCCTGGGCCGGCAGCCAACTAGCGTCGGAACCAAGGCTGTGGACAGGATGTGGCCCATCTCGAACTCGGTTAAGACCTTGTCTTGCGGGCAGATGGACAAGGCAGTGAGGACAAAAACATCCTGAACCCCATACTTGAGTACAGAAGAGACGAATTTGGCGACGAAAGTCCTCGTGGGCGGACAGGTCTGCGCCTGGCTCGTGGTGAACTCATAGGCGATCATGCTTTCACCGGGGATAGCCTTGAAGTAGAGGTCACGTACGTTGGGGCACTTCTGCGGAACCCGGGGGCTGCATAGAACGAAGTCTTTACGGGCCTTGCTTTTGATCGTTTCGTAGGTCATGATTCGTCCCTCCCGGATATCGAAGTGCTTGTGGACAAGATGGAGAGAAAAGGTTCCCGCCAGTCCATGGGCGGCAATGATTCCAAGAAGGACAGCATGTGCCTTGGCATGGCTGGCTGCAGCTTCCATCATGTCGTCAATATGAGAAAGCTGATTGTACTCGGCCGAAGGGAGAGGTGTCTCCTGAAGACGAACATTATTCAGGGAGTTGACAGGAGTGGGTATGTTGAACGGCGGATTGGGAAGACACAAAGAGTGCGGTTTCTGTCTTGATGAGGAAGGTCTCGAATCGAGTTGACGACAACTGGGCCCTTGAGCTGGGCAATTGGAGGGTAAGTCGAGGAATGGCTATTAGTGTTAAGCCTGTGTCCGAGGTACGGACCCTGGATCTTAAATATTCGAGGCGTCCCTGCGTAATTGTCCTTGCGGTGCTTCTTCAAGACGCTTGCCGCCCGACGGTCACTATTGCGGCCGTCGCCGAGTCAGCATGGCCTCGGAAATACCAGTGATTGCAACTCTCATTCGTCGTTGGAGAGGCTGTTGGTTCTCGAACACTTCCTCCCATGCACACTATTGGTCTCAGCGGTGCTCTGGTCCATTGGTTCTGCGAGTCTTCAATATGGTTTAACCAAGGCTTTTGCCCAAAACGACATTTGTGACGGGTGTGCCTCCGGAAAGATGTATGATTTTGCTGCTGAAGGGTTTATATCAAGGCGAGATGTGCGGTTATCTGCGTGTCCCACTACTGAGTTCGCTAACCAACCCAAATTGCGACCAGAAACAATAAATAGTGCTCACCGCCATTCTCCACCCGCAACTCTCATAATCCAAATCAACCGCCCCAATGACACAGTTCAAAGATCAGTCCTCGGTTTCTCATTTGCGCCCTCTCATCCTGTAATTCTTGACAATGCCGCTGATTTCTTCTGACAAAGACCTCCCTAAATTGCTCGACACACCAACAAAGCAAGTCGAATGGGCAAAGAAACTGGTCGCTGAGCATCTAGGCAGCGCTGCAAAGCATATTGACAAACCCCCCATGCAGGGAATGTTCAGTAGGACCCTGTTCTTGACCTTGGCGGATGACCGTGAGGTAGTGCTACAGTTTCGCACTGAGTCACTCGAGCTGGACGCTTTCAAGATTGCGAGGAATGCTTTAGGCTCCATCGTGCCCGATATCAGAGCTTTGGAGGACAAGGCGCTTCTAAAGGAATATGTTTGGGCTTATTCCCTAACCCGTCTGTATGGCAAGATGTGGACCCACGGGGTTATCGGCAAGGGCGCCGAGGGCCGAATTGCTATCAACAGATCCCTCAGTCGCGTTCTTTCAAGGGCTACCTCACCAAGAGCAGCAGCGAGGCCGTCGATGGCAAGATCCGACCCCATCTGGAGGCCATCTTGGCATCGCCGTTACAGGAAATCCTCCCGTACCGGCATGACTTTCAAGGTTTCCTTGATAAGCTGGAACAGCTGAAAGAGCTCCCGCTTTGGGTCGCCCACTACGACCTTAACGACCTGAGCATTCTGATCGACGAGGATTGCCACGTTACCGGCTTGATCGACTGGGAGCTGTCCTCCCCACGGCCATTTGGAGTTGGCTTCGGTCGCATTCACACCTTCGCGGGTGAAAACACCGGCGGGGAGTTTTGGATGCCTGATGAATTTGAGGTTGCGGAACGGGCCTTTTGGAACGAGTTGTTTGATGGGATGCCAGCAGATATTCGCGACATATTGAAGAAACAGATGGTCCTGGTCCAGGATGCAGTCATCCTGGGGACTTTCTTGAATTGCTTCTTCTTCGAGGACGGGAAGGTCGGCTTTAGCCAGGTTGCTCTAAAGGCTCTCCCCAAGTTTCTTACCTATCGAATCCCTTTTGTCAGAGGGAGTGAGGGCCTCTACAGAGATTAGAGCTGCTTAGCTAGTGTACCCATATCTTGTTCATTACGGAGGACGAGGCACTGAGGTGAATGGTAAACGCGAAAGAAACGGCTCTGGGGTGGACAATCTTAAGGGGATAAGCATGAGGCTCTACTTTGCAGCTATCGCCCGAAGCCACACAGATCGCGATCGGCCAATCGAGCAGAGATGGAATGGGTGTGAGGTTAATCTGCCTGCTTGCTCCGTAACCGGCATGAGTTCCACCCGGAACTAGATGCCATCGGTCCTGCATGCGCCTGAAGGCCGCGTGCTTTTTCTGTATAAGAGATAGCTCTTAGGCCTCCGAAAACATGCAGCAGTGATCGTCCCAACCTACGGAGTTATCGTCCACGGCATCCCCAGTAGCTCCATCAACATGAAAGACCAGAAAGCCACGATCCAGCAGATGCTTTGCAGACAATCACACAGTGATCCCACGAGCGGAGATCTCGCACATATAATGGCTCACTAAGGAGGCCGTGCACAAACGTGCATCTTCGCTGGTCGTAGAGTTTACAGGACCAGAGATGGCCAACGCTATCATCTACGCGGGGATGGTGTGGGAAAAGACAGCGATTGCACCCCGTAGATATCCCGCTGCCGAGACCGCCGTATCGGGCCGCGCCCCTGCTTGGGCGGCTGCTCCGGGTTTTCTTAAGCGGACGTCATCACTAAGCTTAGGTGCACTTGTAGCGTCATTCACACGAAACCGCGTGCTTCCAGAGACCCATGTTGATCGGGCCGCGCAGAGTCCAGCTAATAGGCATGACCGAGAATAAGCGGTTGTGGTGGCCGTCAGGAGGAGCTGTATAAAGCTAGCGAAACTGGCAATCTGGTTTGAACCCTTAAAGAACCCTTGACCCGAGAAGAAATGCACGTTGATAAGACTGGCCCGTCAGCCCGGACCTGGCCTTTGCCGTACAGCTAGCAACCTGATATATAGGAATCCGGATTCTGACGGGCTCCTCCATAGAAATCGTTCACGTGAGAAGACCGGTATCCCATCAGCAATCTAAGCGAGCCTTCCTGGATACGACTCGTAGCGCACCTACCTAGTCCGTTAATAAATTTTCGATGGCTCCTGTTTCAGTGAAATCCTCGTAGAATTGCTCCTCCGAAGCAATGGCGTCTTGAAGATGGGACCCCTTGAGCACAGTCCCTTCATGCTCAGCCATTCCAGGGTTGACTGCGAGAGCCGGGAGCTTGGGTTGAGCTGGGAAAATCGGGGCAAGATGCAGGTGTCTTTACCGTAGCGCGAGATACCCGACAGCCAATCGTTAGCTGCCCCCACGCCCTGATGATACCTAAAGAAGTGGATTTTCGTAGCAACGGATTCGTTCGAGCTGATTAAGGTCCAAAGCCTCAATTGGTTGATAGGACTGACCAGTCTGAGCAAGGCAAAACTCCATTCTGGATCTGGTGTGAGCAACACGGTGCGATACAGTGCGACGTAGCGCAACACATCCTAATACACTATTAGCCCAGCCACGGCACCTCTTTTCAAGGCCTTACAGCAGAGCGCGCGTTTCCCAGGTACAAGCGCAGGGACCCTAGCTCCACTAACGCTGCAGCCATAAAAAGTTGCGCCGTTATAGCAACACGATTTTGCAAGACTGTGTTAAAGAATAAGAAATTTGATCTAATGGAAACACCTAGAACGCAAGAAATAAAGCAGAGGGACCGGCCTATATATGTTTTCCCCTCTTGGGTTCTTGCGTCCTGTTCTCTGGCTGCTGGCCACTTGAGTTCCGGGTCCCAGGCTCCTCATCAGCATTGCTTGGAGCTGCGCCGCCCACTGCGACGTGAACGCTGAATGCACTGTGTGGTGTATAGTGGATTCGAGAATTACATCTGTCCCGCCAAAAATGGTGGGTCTGGGCTTCCATTTTCGGAACCCCCAACATCGACACGGGTATTAAGAGTGTAATAGCATCAATCTCGGGTCGTGTCGTATATGTAGGTCAGTGTTTGGGGCACATGGTGCCAACAAGATGTGAAAGCTTTGAGCTGGGCTTTGATGTCAGTTGCTGGTTGGTAGCGGTGGGATCGTCTTTTTCCCTGACAATGATATGATCGAGGCATACTAGTAAGAATTCCAGACGATAGCTGAATACCTACCTAGGTAGGTAAGTACCAGTTTAGTCCATCCATACCTGGTAGTTTTAACAACCACGGTTCCAAACTCGATAACTCGTCGAGTACGCGGTCGTGGCAAAGACAGCATGATTCAAAGGTTTGGGAACAGAATGAAACCTCGAATTGGGCGACAAGAAGCCTGGAGGTGCCAACGAATGTAGGTATATTGTGGAAATAGGCCGAAATTTCTGTCCTCTTTGAGGTGGTAGGTATATTTCGCCATGCTGAAGGTGATAGGCGCGTCTATGACATAACCAAACTTGGAAGCTTCTGTTCGACGGGCCGGAGATGGCGCGCGGTAGGTTCAGCCACGGGTCACGTCCAGTACAATATCGAAAAGTAGGTTGATAGCATGGCTGGAGGGAACAGTTCAAGCACCCGCCTCGACTGCACCCCTCCGCAATTCTTGCGCGAGGAGTCGCTCCGCAGCAAATGCCGAAAGCTGGTCGCGATGTTGCAACGCTCGACTCGGTTCCCGACATGGAGATCTTGGCTTGCTTCGGCTCCGTCGCCAGGGAACCGACTTCACTCTCAATCCGCACGGGGAAGGAGCCGCTTTGAGTGTTCTACGGAAATCCAACGCCGATTCGCTCTCTTGGTGAAATTTTCACTGCGGAATTCCAGCAATCGGGAGCTCCCGCTTGGTGTTCTATGGCAGTTCGCCAATCGCCGCCATGATGCGCGCCTATCATAGATCTGAGTACCGAGTCCATCAGCACCCGATGCTACTCTACTGGCTACCCCTAGGCTAGGTAGCAGACCTCTCCTAAGGCAAGTGACCCGTGTGTCGAGATGAAGAGATTCCGAATCTTGGTCATAACCTGGTGCCGACCTACCTGTGCCATAGGAAAACCGTGCATGATAACAAGATGACTGGTGAGTAGGTAGTCAACACCTTTTTTCAACGGCGCTGATACGATGGGTGGCGTGACAACTATAAGAGAGGCAAAGTTTCCTCACTCCTCGTAGTTGCCTATCATTCAGCTCCCCCATCAGCACGATCCTGGTCCTCTTTTTCCAGCTATGAAGTTGAATCTTGGAAGCCTCGCCCTCTGGGTGCTCTCAGCGGCACCGGTCGCTGAGGCCCATTACCGCTTCAGCAAACTGCTCGTGAACGGCAAGCTCTCCGGCGACTGGGAGTACATGCGAGAGAACAGCAACGGCATTATGCCCACGAAACAGTTTCTCGCACCCAGTGACGACTTCCGGTGCAATTCCGGCAGCTTTGCCAATGCTGGAAAGACCAAAGTGGCCAAGGTCATGCCTGGAGATACCATCGGCTTCCAGCTGTGGTACTACGCGACGATGCAGCACCCAGGGCCGTTGACGATCCACATGTCCAAAGCCCCCGGCGATGTGCGCAACTATCGCGGTGATGGGGACTGGTTCAAAGTTCATCAGATGATCATCTGCAAGGCCCCGAACCAATACCTGGTAGGTCGTTCTCGCCGGGCACGTCTCTGATATACATGATACTAACAACAGTGGCCCGCTGCTAGAACGATAAGGACTGGTGCACGTGGGACCTTGCCACCGTCCAGTTCACCCTCCCCCGCGACACCCCCCCCGGTCAATATCTCGTCCGCGTCGAGCACATCGCCCTGCACGGTGCCCAAAGCGGTGACACAGAGTTCTACTTCACTTGCGCACAGATTGAAGTCGGCGGCAATGGCAACGGTAAACCGGGACCCATGGTGAAGATCCCTGGACTCTATGACTCGAATGATCCGGCATTGCGTTTCTTCATTTATGGCGCGCGGTCGTATCCTTATACCAACGTTGGCAAGCATGCGGTTTGGACAGGTGGCAGCGGTGGTGGGAGCTCGCCGGCGCCTAACCCGGCCCCGTCGAATCCGCCAGTCACCAACCCATCTCCGGGTGGTGGCACGGCGCCTCTTTGGGGTCAATGTGGAGGGAATGGCTGGACGGGCCCGACACGGTGCGCGGAGGGAACTTGCAAGTTTAGCAACGATTGGTATTCGCAGTGTGTGCCCTGAAGGATTCAGTCATCCACAGTGTGACAAGGGGAGGAAACTGGCTGAGATAACCAGGAGAAATGAGGCACAGCTCTCCGGGGAAAGGTTTCCCCCAATCTTTCCAGGTTGTTATTGGTCAATCGGGAGGTACCTTGGTCAATAACACGTGCTTACCTACCTTATATGTACACTTTCGTGTCTCTTCCAAAACCAACAATGCCTGCCAAACTCAGGTCCCGCTCGTGATGTAACATGAAGTGAGCTACTATCCCGATTAAAATCTGCACTGTGTGTTTGGTTGGTTACAGATGGTTCGGGAAGAGGAGGCAATTTGTGTCTGTCTAGCAGCTAGGTACCTATACAACGTGCGGGTAGGTATCCGTGTAGTCGTCTTCCTCAGCGATATCTCCTCCATCCCGCCATCATGGTCCATTACGACATCACCCCTTCCAAGCAGGCCAGCCTCCCCCGCTACCTTTACCACCAAGCCACCTTCAGACCAGCCCCAGTTCACAGCGTCAACCTCGCCGGCCAAACTGCCATCGTAACAGGAGCGAACTCGGGCGTCGGCTTCGAAGCCAGCCGGCAGTTTCTCGACCTTGGGCTGACCAGGCTGAAGCCAAAGGCGCCGCTGCTGTACAAAAGCTTGCTCTCAAGCCTGATGGAACCAAACGTGAATCTGGCGCCACTGTCGAAGTCTGGAAGCTCGACCTTTTCGAGTATGGCTCTGTTCTGTCGTTTGCAAAGCGAGCAAAAGAGACGCTGGAGAGACTCGACATCATTATGCCGAACGCCGCGATGGGGGTCCCGTCCAAGCGTGCTTTCCACCCAGAAACGAGACACGATGAGACACTTCAGGTGAACTACCTTTCCACTGCGCTGCTGGCTACCCTGTTGCTCCCAGTGGTCAAACAGACAAGAGCGTATCAACCCGCTCCGACCCGCATCAGCTTGGGCAAAGTTCCCACTTGGCAAAAAGATCCCCATTCTTGAGGCGGTTGACAAGCCGGAGGAGAACGCGGACTTGGCAGATGGGATGTTTACCTCGAAGCTTCTCGGTCAGTTCTTTCTGCGGGAGCTGGCAAACGAGTGCCCGTCAAGATTGCGGTCATCAATGGGGCGTCGCCTGGCATGGTGAGTGACTCCGAGTTTGACCGCGAGGTTAAGAAGACGACCACGGGGGCATAATGCAGAGGATCAAGATGTGGGTGGGAAATAGCTCGGCTGTGGCGGCGAGAATGGTCACGTATGCGGCAGCGGGGTGTGGGGAGGACACGCATGGGGAGTTTTTGTCCTTTCAGAAGGTGGTACCGTAAGTCTTTTCCAACGTTTCATAAATATCTTTTCGGGAAAAAAAAAGAAGGATATGGCTGACTGGTTGGCGATAGCATGGCTCCCATTATTTACACGGGCGAAGGGGAGGCCATATCTGCTGGGTTGTGGAAGGAGACAATGGAAGAGTTCAAGTTTGCGAACGTGGACAACATCGTTAACAGTTTGGGCTGAGATCTTGCCGTACCAAAGTCATTCTACGTCTCCTTCGTTTCCTATCCTCGGGCGTCCGCATAACACTTCTACCTCGTCATTTATCCAACTTGTAACCCAATTCCACAGAACTTTCGGCCACTCAACAAACACGATGGACAGTCCTACCACGCCCCCTTTGACACTTCCGCCCCAACCCTGCCCTTGGACTTCCACAAGCCCAGGCAGCCCGTAATATCTCAAGATAACTCGCTTGTAACTTTTCCAGCGCCAACTGCTGTCTAGCTTGTCTGTCTGGAAAGGGCGAGGTGCCCAGAGACCTCTAACGTGGCTAGTAGAAAGGGCGTGAGAACAGGAAAAGATAACATGAATGTAGCCAGAGTCGAAGGGCGATGGGAGATTAGGCTTGTGCTTGGGTGCTTGTTTCCGAAGACGAGTGCGCGAAGTGATAGTGGTGGTGCGGGTGTAAATAGAACTGTGTGATGTTCTTGAGCCGAAGACTGTTGTGTTTGGTAGATGGCTGCAGTGGTACAAATCGCGGTGTTCTTCTGGATATACCCTCATGCTCCCGTGTGTCTGTAGTATTTCTGTTTCTTGTGAATATACCACACGACTCAAAGCAATGTGTGACGCGACTTCATTGGTGAACTCAGCGGGCCCGTACAGAGGCAGCCTGGGTGTGAATGGAGCAACGTTGATGTAGCTTTGGTCTAAGCTGTGATCCTGCTCGAACTCTCGATGAATGTCGAATCCCGCGCGGTGTTCCTCCTCGGTGGTGAATGAAGACGGGGATTTCGAGACAGAGGTCCAGGAAGTAGCCAAGGCTGCCTCTGATTCAAGACTCCATGATCCAAACCCATGATCCGACAAAACGCTGTTCCTTCGATTCGGTATCCGATGCCGGACTTGTTGTGTGGATGAAATATATGGTCGTGTAGATGGAGACCCCGAGGTTTCAGTTTCGGTTGCTTTAGGCGATGAAACGTTGTTTGTTGTGGTATCTGGTCGAGGACAGCCATAGTTTTCCAGCCAAAACTTGCATTGTTCGCAAACATTGGTTTTGGTTCTGCAATCGCTGCAGCGTTTCCAAGATCCTCTGGGCACCCGTCCATTCCATTCGGCGTCTGACCATTCCTCGCGGTCGGACACTATTTCGAATACATGCATATCTTCACAAAGGGCGTCCATGGTGAGGTATAGAAATCGGGTAACTAATGAGAGAAAATCGGTAAATACTGCAGCAGGTAAGGTAGTCATGTCGAGGCCTCCTACCTAGCCCGTATTTGGACGATAGCGAGGGTGCACTCTTGGCTCACAGGCGGAATTGCCCGGGATCACCTGACAATGTCGCGTCGCTTCAAGTACTTACCTTGCATAACACATCTAGAATTGTGATATCTGGCAGCTGTCGAGATAGTTATGCTGTGCATTACCTCTTGTAATTTCATTGACATACATGCTAGGGACACAATGTTGATGTTCAAGCATCCCGAGACGTGACTGATCGGTGCGGGGTTCGCGTCTATTGACGCAATGGAAATACCAAGGAGATATCGAGCCCTCACAAAGTGTTGAAATTCCACAAATTCGCATCACTGTGTCAATGTCCCAAAGACACCTAGGTGCACTCACCATGTCCACCGACCCAGTTCTTTCTGAAGCTGATGCCGCTCGCCTGGCCTCTCGGCGCCAGCTTCCACCTCCTGTGCCAGCCTACCTCCCGACCGGCCCCAACTCGCCTCTGGCTGTCGGCAAAGAGCTGTACTCCAAGATCCAATCTGCTCCTCGGGTCCTGGAACAGAGCTTTACCATCCCCATCCGCTCAGGCAAAGCTTGGACTGCCTCCGCCGGCTCCGTCATCCGCATCAGCACTCCCGAAGGACCTCAAGTAGGTGATCTGAACATCTGGTGCGCTTGACCCCTCGAGATATCATCGTCTGCCCATCGACTAACCCCCAGTAGGAATCAACACAACCCCTCCGAACGCTTCTGGGCCTCTCGCACCCGCCAGCTCCACTCCACCCACCTCACCACGCACGACCGTCTCTGGTCCTGCCTCCCTTACATGCGCCCCCTCCTCACCATCCTCTCCGACTCTCTATCCTGGTACGGCACCGACTCCAACGGCGGACGCGTCCACGATCTCCTCGGTACAAGGTGCGACCCCTACATCAACCACCTCTTGTCTGGGGGCCAAAGCTATGATCATCACTGCCATAGCAACCTTGTCCGAGCCGTCAGTGAGTTTGGCTTAGAAGAGAGGGACGTGCATGATGTGATCAATTTGTTTCAGGTTACGGGGCTGGATGAGAAGGGAAGGTATTGTATGAGTGCTTGCCCAGCGGAAAAGGGGGACTACATTGAGTTTCTGGCCGAGGTGGATGTGCTGATGGGGTTGAGTACTTGCCCCGGGGGGGATTTGAGCCTCTGGGGCTTTGGGGCGGATAGCGAGAAGGAGATGGAGAAGTGTTGCCGGCCGTTGAAGGTGGAGGTTTTCCGGTTGGAGGATGGGGGTTTGTTGGAGCGGGAAGGGTGGAGGAAAGCGGAGGTGAGTGGGTACAAGGGGGGTCACGGACTCGGTGCTTGATGTTTACACTTCTAATCCTCCACCAGGCAGTGGGGTCTACCTTAACTTTGGACACGACGTCGATGGGTTCACGCTTGGGACACATGTAAATGGTAACAACTAACTCCTCAATGCTTCCCAGTATCAAAATACAAACTAGTATTTGGTCAGCTCTGGCGTCCCAGCCGCCCGTGGATGCGAGAACTTGGTCTCAACAAACACCTTCTGCATGCCGTCCTCCTTGTTGTCAAACTTGTAGTAGACCTTGTCCAAGTCCTCGAGGCGGACACGATGCGAAATCATCTGCACTGGGTCGAGCTCGCCCGTCTTGATCTTCTCTAGCAACTCCTCCCAGTACTTGTGCACGGGGGCCTGGCCGTTGCCAATCAGGCGGATGCCGCGCTGCATCAAGGATCCAATGTTGAAGTGGTTTGTCTGTGATGAGGGTTAGCATGCTGGCAACAATTATAATCGTAGGAAGGAGTAAAGCATACGTATCCAACATAGACACCAGTAACACCGGCACGGCCGTAGTTCCTCACACCCTCAATCATCTCATTGATGATTTCACTCGTGTCCGTCTCGGCTCCCAAGCTCATTTCCAGCCAGTGCATCCAGCCCTTGGCGTACTCTCCAGCGGCGCACTCGATAGCAACGTCTGGGCCACGCCCACCTGTCAACTCCTTCAACTTGCTCACCACGGTGTCCTTGCTGGTCACCCCAAAGCTGAGCTGCTGGAAATCCAGCACCTCAATCTTGTCCCGGTGCTGCTTGGGCCATCTCGACTTGATGATCGACAGCCTGGGCTCGGTATCGACAAAGATAACCTTGCTGGCACCCTCGCCGACCGCAAAAACACCCGCCATCTGCCCAACAGGCCCCGCACCGAAGATAGCCACCACATCACCGGGGTACACGGCAGTATCCTTGACAGCATTGTAGGCCGTCGGCAAAACATCAGACAGCCACAACGCCTTCTCATCTGGAACATCATCCGGAATCTCCAGCAAGTTTACGTCGCCCAGCGGGACCCTCACATACTCGGCTTGACCACCAGCAAAACCACCCGTCAGATGCGAATACCCAAAGATGCCAGCTGTCCTCCCTCCGTACATGGCCTTGGTGGTGGTGTTCGAGTTGGTCGTTTCGCACTGCGACGAAAGCTCTGCTTGCAGAAGAAGCAGTCACCGCAGGCAATCTGGAAGGAGACAACGTATCGCTTGCCAACCTGAACCTTGTCACGGACGGCGGAGCCGACCTGGTCGACGACACCGCAGAATTCGTGGCCGAGGATATCGCCCTTGTGCATTTGGAGAACGGCGCCGTGGAGCAGATGAAGATCGGAACCGCAAACGGTGGTGCCGGTCACCTTGAGGATGACGTCGCGGGGCTCGATGATTTTCGGTTTGGGAACGTCAACTGTTGTTGATGTGGTCGTTAGCGATTATTCTTGGGGAGAGTTGGCGGACGCAACCATACCAATCTCGACCTTTTGCTTGGTCTGCCATACTAGAGCCTTCATCGTCTCGTTAGGGTCGCCGGTGCCCTTCTGGTTGAAGTTGGAGACATCCTGCTGGATGATGTTGTTGTCATCGTGGCCGATGGCCTTCTCGACGGCATAGGCTGCTTCTGCTGTTGCCATTTTGTCCGAGTATTGTGGCTGTCGTGTTCGATTCGCGTGTCCTGTGGTGGAACAGAGGTCATTAGCCCCGAGTGCTGAAGGCCACTGGCACCTTTAATCACCGGTGTTGCTAGATCCATGGCGTCAGACGGTTGCAAGATAGGACTCGGATTGGGCTAGTGCCGTAGAGGGTATGACGATGTTTCCCCGTCATTGTCGATGGTGGTTGAAAGAAGCAGGCGAAAAGGAACGGCCGACGTCATTGATCGAGATCCAAATCCTACTTTGGCCTCAATTGTGGGCCAGCCTTGGCACGAACACAAGCCTTATCTTATCGCCCGTGTTGCAGGAAGGCAGGTTCTCACCTCAGGGCGAGTTGCCAGGTAGCTCGCTGACTGTCCCGACACAATGCGACATTCCACCGTCACCAAGCGACAGATAGAACTCTCGCAGCAGTTGATGAACATCATGATACAGCTGAATTCCACCGGCGGTGGCACACCGTAAGCTCCTTATCAGAACAACGCCACTCATAACACCTAGGTACCATTCAGTCAATTTATCCTCACCTAGCTCCATTGCTCGGTTATGAGTTGCTGCCTGAAATTTATGGGCGTTTTCTTTTTGTTCCAGGTCCCTATCAGATGATTGGTCTGACTAAGACACATGCATGTCAGCAGGACCCAGGAATTCATCAAATTCCTTGGCAATGAACTCAGCAGCAATGGGTTCTCCAAATCCCGAGTCACCGGCAGTCCCACGGCCTTCATCAGATAACACGGGGTGGACAGCAAGCAGTTCGGGTTCCAGCCACAACGGCAACAATTCTCATGGCAACATGAGTTCTCGACAAGAAGTCTTCATCAGTTATCGTGGTTGGCCAGAACACCGTCATCCACTGTTCACCCAACAGGACGCAACCGATAACCTGAACGGGACTCACTGGTCCAAAGGTCTTGAATCATGGTCGCCCTCTCTTGGCGGGCCTTTTCGGGGGTTGAATACAAGCCCCTTGAGGCCATATCCCAACCGGGACTTACTTGCCGAGGCTGGGTGGTATGACACCACAGGAAAGAAAGGTCATCTCAAGGAATATGCCCCATCACCTCAGGAGGAGGTCTCAAGCTGCCTTCAGCGAAGTCTAGAATCAGAGGCTTTGGTGTCACGGTTTACTGAGGATGATTCCTGGCCATCGGATTGTGGGAAGGTAGAGGGCACACCTACAGCCACCTCTCCTTGGACAGTTACTCCCCCTGAACATTCCGAAGAGAAGGCCAAGGAGCTGGAGCATGCCCAATCTTTTGACTTGAAAGACTTTGCATATTTCTACGACCATGACGGCCGCGATCACGCAAGCACACACCTTGAAGGCCATGCGTTGCCCAAAACACCTATTTCGCAACCAGCAGTTACCAAGACTGCCCCCGTACTTGGACCAAGCAAAGTGTGGGCTCTTCCGCCAGTGAGTACAACGATAACGACCAGCCTCTTGAAAGATACACTAACCTGTTCCAGCGAATCCGTCGCAGAAAGAAAACAAAGCCGGTTGGCGAGAGTCCGCCGAGCAGCAAGGTCAACCCCATCGATAAACCCAAACCGAAGAAACGGGGTGCTTTTACCGACAAAGCCAAGAAACGCAGCACGGCCCTGACTCGCCAACTAAAGTCATGTATCAGGTGTCGTATGAACAGAGGGCGTGTATGTCTTCTTATCTAGGTACCACGGACTAGAACGAATTCTGACCGCCTCTTCCCCATCAGTGCCTTCCAAACCCCTCCTTCCCTTCCGGACCCTGCCTCACGTGTCAACTCATGACTGGCCCAACACTGAGCAAGATGCCATGCTACCGCTACATTATTACGGAAGCTTCCCTCTATCGCGAACAAAAGGCCCCCTGGCAGATCTTCAGCCGTCGCTGGCAAAGTATGGACATCGTCGACATTTCGTCGTCCGACTGGGCACCCTCTTCTCGTATCAGAACCATCATGGTCAGCCACCTCAACGTTCCAACACAATTTGCATTTCAGGTCAGAGAGTTCATTCCCACCGCTGGCGACATCTTGGTAGACGAGGTTACCGACCCTGTGGAAGGGACAGTGACAAAAGTCCCGTTGCCGAGGTTTGCAGTAGCGGATATGAAGGCCACAGCGGAGAACATGAGGGGCTTTGTAGATGGAAATGTCCACAACTTCATCATAGCCATGGTGGGGCGAGATGAGCTGTTGTGGGAGACGTATTTGATGGCTTTCAGGCAGGTTGGGTTGGCGAGGGTGAGTGTGATATTGAAACAACGTTCCAGTTCATCTTGACATGCTGATGGATCACAGACAAAACAAGAGCAAACCCTCCTGTCAAACACATTCCGTCTCTGGGTTGTGTGCCGCATGACAAGCTCACCAGTGTACATCTGCGGAGAGGACAAGCTTGGAGGCACTCCGCACCCGCTTTACGACAACCGCGTCATGATGCCCTTGCTGATGACGGCACAGTTTGAGTGCATCAACTACACTACCTTTCTAAGACCATGGAGCAGGGCGGTGTTGAAACAGCTGAACGACTTGGTGTTGGCGAAAAAGAGAGAATACTGGTTAACCATTTATTTGACAATGTTTGTGTTACTGCACAGCTGCGCCATGATCACCAAGCGGGACGAGGAAACCGCGAGGCAGTTTAGGATACCTGTCAGTGCCAACTACCCTGTACATATCCCGAATAGGGCTGACTGAACAAATAGGGTAAATACGCCAACCCAGCCAGTATCAGAGAACATCACTGTGGTGCCCAGACGATGCTTGCCCACTTTCACTACATCAACCGAGGGGTCGTTCCCTTTTCGCTGCCACTGCATACAAAAGATGGAAGAAGTGATCTGGCCAAGGCAGCAAATTTGACCGAGGAGCAGGTCAGCTTTGTGAGAATGACAGCTGAGATGGTCAAAGACAGCGCAAGACGTATGGGGTCTCTTCATTTTCCCACCGTTGATGTCACAACACTGACAGACAAGCACAGAAAGCACCATGAGAACTGTCCGAGAACAGGAAGACGTCGGTCATGATTTGTACTGGGTTTCTATGCTCTATGACCAGGAGTGGAGGCCAAAACAAAACGAGTGAGGAGAAGAAAAAGACCTAGATGTACGACAAAGCCCGTTCCAAATACACGAAAGCAAAAACTAAACCACCACCCAAAGGACCAAGAAGAACAGACCTGCTGAAGAAGCACTATCGAAGAAGATTCTTCAGTCACAGGAACCACCCGTATTCAACACCCTCCCCGTCACGGGGTGCCTCAACGGAGCATAGTCCCAATACCTCCCCCTCTTATCACTCCCCTCCTCCTCAAAATCATCATCAAACACCCTCGCCCAAGCCAGCCTCAACGGCCGGGGCAGGTTCCAGCACATTCCCTCATCATTATTCAACCAGATCCTCACCAGATGCCTCGGTTTACTCCCCTGTACATTCTCAAACGCCTCTCTTCTGTGGAGCAAGCCGAGGTTGTTCACAAACCTGATGTCACCCCTCTCCATCCGGGGTTTGATCTCATGTTTCTTGGCAATAAAATGAACCGCGTCAAGGGCCTCGGCTTGCGCCTCTGTCAACCCTGGAATAGCCTTGCTCCGCGGGGTGAAGGGTGCGTGGCCGACGAGAAGACGGCGGGAAAAGGAGGTGATGAGGCGGTGGTCGTGAAAATACATCAGTGCCCGGCGGTAAAAGGGGGGGTCGCGGCCGTAGGTGTCGAACGGCCAGTCGGGGGAGCCGAGGGTGTGGATGAGGTCCGGGCGGGTGGCCGCGAGCTCGTTGTAGACTGTCCAGGCTGAGGCAAAGGTGGATCTGCCGCCTGAAGAGGCGAGCTCTTGGGTGAAGAGACAGAGGGTGTCGGTTACGGTGTCGGTGTGGAAGGGTTTGTCGGAGGAGTAGATGCTGTCGTGGAGAGTGGACTCAGCGGATTGATCCCCGCGCTGCATGACGTGGATGAGCATCGAGCCGCGCTGGTCCTGGCGGCCGCGCCGGGAGGCGACGTAAGACGAGAGGCCGAGGTAGATGGCGGTCAGGTCGGCGAGGGGGTAGTCGTCGGGGTCAAGACCGCGGACGATGTGAAAGCCTTTGCCGAGATAGATGTCGTTGCAGATGCCGGACAAGATCGGGCCAAGGTCGGGAAGGGGGAAGAGGTACTTGGTCACTTTCTGAGAGTCGAGGTTGTGGGATTTGAAGAAGGCGAGGGCGGCCAGAATCTCGGTCTTGTCAGACGGGGTGAGGTGGTAGACGTATTCGTCTTCAGAAGGGAATGAGTTTGAGGTCCAGACCAGGGGTCCTGAGAGCTTTGTCGGCCAGCCGTCAGGCACCGAGGTGGGAAGACCGCCTGCTTTGACACGAGCTGTCGACCGAGCACGGTATTTGGCTTCGTCGACTTCATACTCAATGTCCGCGCATTTGCCTCCGTTCAGGCGAGCATCTACGTCGGCTTGTTCGAGCCGGACACGATCGATGTTGAAGCGGGCACGCAGACCCTGAGAGTAATAGGGTGCCGGAGCAGTAGCGGCATCACTGAGCATGGTCATGTTGCGTACCTTATCCGACTAAAGAGTTGACATGGAAAATGGAAGCTGGGCGTGTTGGTGTATTGGTTTCGTGACAAGATGGCTGGCATGGAGAAAGAGACAGAACTTCCGTCGAGCATTTCTTCAGCTCTTATAGACTATTTCAGGATGACCGAAATCTTAACAGCCTCAAATAGGACTCAGACACCTGCTCCATCAGTGACGCAAGCCACTCGGAGGTAATCATCATCACCAGTGAGCTATTGTGGATACAAGCCAAGGCCTAAGGTGTGCTTTCAGTCGGCGATTGGGCTGACCTTCAAAGTGTCGGCCGCCTGCCCGTCGAGTGAGGTGCCGTGGGCCGATGGTTTGGACGAGTCCACTGGATGACTTGGGGGCCATGAGGAGTTAGATCACCACATTAGCTTTTCAGTGCGTTGAGTATGGCATTATTATTATAGAACAAAACCGTATATTACCCCGTCGTGTGCTGGATTAGCCAGACCTGGAGAACTTGAAGGGTTTTGACTAAAACTCGTGACGAAATTTGTCTGTCAAGAACTATTGCTCAAGCATCCACCAACTGCGTCTTTGGGATGGGAACTGTCAGCCCACTTGAATAATCAAGAACTGAAGAAGTGAGAGGTGGGAGTAACATCTCACACCAAGCCAGGCTTCCGACAACGCGCAGGTGCGTACATTCTCACGTGTACAGATTTGATATAAGTCCTGTGTCACAATACTAGTTTCATCTCAGTCTCCCACTGTCTAGTACTCCTGGTTTTATGTAATTGGCATGACCGAGACGACAGCACACTAGGTAACTGAGTAAGCAGCCTTTACGAGGAACTCAGGCTGTACAAGCACCTACAAGAGCTGACAACACATTATCTGCATGACCAAGAAAGTCTGACTTAGAATCACGGTAAACATCCCGTCCACGGACTAGGCCACTTTCTACACCGACTGACTTTAAATCAATCTGTACCTTAGGTATCTGGGCCATAAACATCGATGTATACTTCATTGAGACCATGACTCAAGTAAGTGTTAGAAACAATGAGAACAATACTCGGAAATAAAAGCCAAGGCAAGTAAGACCTAAGTTGAAGGATCAAGCCTACAGCCTTACGTGTGTAACTGAAAACTAAAGCATGCTTAAAGTTCCTATCTAGGTAGGCAGCCATATTATGCTTGCACCGGGAAACTCTGATGTCAGCCAACGCCGCCGAACGGCAGTTGAGGGCCATTTCACAAGGACCAAGGAATGGTCGAAAATGGTTGGTGATTTTTTAGGGGGAGCCAGGCTTGCAATCCCCGAAGATGTGCCAAAATGAATATTAGCTCAGCAGCACACATTTCCCACTTGGCCATGCTCCGAGCTGCCAGAGTTACCCGACAGTCAGCACTTTCATCATAGAGAACCTTGTGTCCCAGCTTTGTCGTCCGTAGACCCTTACCCTGATAAACATTCCCCTGAACCCCTGAGCCCCTGAATCATTGAAGCCTCTCATGATCAGACATGAGCCCTAGGCTATATGTTGACTAAGTGAAACGACGTCCTATGCGAGGCGACCAAAGACCATGCATGTGGATTTATTGGTGGCTGAGAACTCGCGACGGCGCCAAGGCCATAGATGCAAAGCCCCAAACTCAACCAGGCAATTGGAAATGCGGGCAGCTCCAAAGAGGACCCCGGCTCTCCCCGCTCGCACCCCCAGGTTTTCGTCTTTCCAATCTTCCAGGGACGCCACAAGCGCGCAGATAAGACCGGCGCAATGTTTTGCCGACCACCATCAGGCGCGTTCCATCTCAAACATGCTGGCAATGAGCTGAGCTGAATATCCCCTGAAATCTTGTGGCTACGTCTGAATGTCTCACACTTTATTTAACCGCAAATAACTTGGCTCAGGGTACTTCTTCAACGCTCCCGTCCACAACCTTACCGGGACTTTTCAGGTGTATTTTTGGAGAATGACATAACACAGCACCCCTGGATCTAGTCAGCAAGCCGCCCGTGTCTCCACCATGACTACAATCACCCTGGCCGCGACAGGCCAAACTGGTGCTCATGGGACTCAACAATGGGATAACTCAACAGCCATCAAAGCGCCGCGGGGATCCTTCGGTCGCCAGGGACGAGATGCCAGTTTTCCATCTTCCGGAACCAGCGGAGGAGAGATACATGTCGGGCTGAGCTTTGACCCGGCCAGGCCAGGTATAATTCAGGTCACTGGACAGGCGCATCGCATGGGGGAGCGGTATCAGGTTGGGGGCAAACAGTCTTTGCTGCTGGACTGTCGAGGTGGAGATGGAGGGCACGGGGGAATCGGTGAGAATGGCCAGTCTGGGGGTGATGGGTTTGACGGACGGGATGCGACACAAACGAGCGAGGCTACTGATGGATCGCCGGGGATGAACGGAGGAGAGTGAGTCCCTCTTCTGCTTTTCCAGAACGAAAAAAGAAACGCGTATCTGACATGGATGCAGTGGCGGCCGTGGAACGAGTGGGGCGAATGGCGGCGCAGGAGGCCATGCTCATGTCACGGTAAATGAGGAAGATCTTGACACCCTCATCGGTGTTGAGTGGGACGTCAGAGGCGGCTATGGTGGTTGCGTCGGTGAACATGGCGCCGGGGGAGCCGGTGGCCATGGCGGTGACGGCGGTGCCGGTTGTACATGGTTTGACTCCCAAAAATGCATTCTCTATGAGCCCTGATCAAAACTCTGACTAAAGATATACAGGTCAGAGAGATATGTTGCAGCCGTACACACCAATGCAAACGGTCAACACTACACAGAATATGCCACCAGGTATCATTCGAGACCTGCGGGGAGAGGAGGACCAGGAGGCATGGCCGGAAGAACTCCAAATGACTTGTTGTATCCTGGTCAAGACGGTCCGATGGGCTACTCTGAGGTCATTGTCAACTACAAAGATGGCAGGAGGGGAGTGTTCCAATCACGCTACATGCTCGAGGTTGTCGACTTCAAAGTGCATGACGAGAACGGGGATGGCATCAACGAGCCCGGAGAACGGCTAATCATCAGCGACATCGTCATCAAGAACACAGGCCAAATGCCGTCACCAAAGATATCTCGCCTACAAATCTTGGTCAGGGGCACAAAATGGCTGGAGCCCATCCTTGAGCCCTTGGAGATTCCAGCCGAGATTCCACCAGGACATAGTGTCAAGGTTCCGGGTGTGCTGAAGGCCTGGATCAAGAACGAAACCGTCGACCGCAGCTCGGGCACACTTCTCCGCGCACAAGATACCGTCTCACTCAGAGCCTACTCCCAGCGGTTGCAGAGAGATGTTCCCGAGTTTAGCGGCGGTGTGGGCATCGTCTGCCAATACCCGCTGCTCATGACCACGCCAAAGTATCTGGACAGCGTAGCAAAGGGTGATATTGTCACCTTTTCCTGGACGATACAAAACATCTCCACCAAGTCACAGGGTCGTATTGGCACTCTACAGCGCGAGGCTGGGACACATCTTTCCGATCCCAACGGCATGTTCGATTTGAAGCGAGCTCCAAAGGACACGCCGCACGACATTATGGATATGATCGAAGTAATCGAGCCTGGCGAGGTTATTCCAATCACTGTTGACTTTCAAGTATCGGAGCTGGTCAACGAATTCACCACAGGCAACATGTTTGTCACTCTGATTCTCTCAGATCCCCACGGAAAGCAGATGCGGAACGTGGTGGCATTTGACTTGCGCATTCAGATCTCGCCTTCATACCGCTACAACCCAGCAGCACGATTCCTGCTTGTCATCAACGGGTCTTCGCCCAATGCCTTTGTGCTGCACTTGCTCCACTTCCTTCAACTCGGGCTTCACCTTCCTGTGGACATCTTCAATCTCAGTCTCAGCGGCGCATACACGACAGCCGACACTCGTGACGACATCTTGGCCAACTACAGCGGCAAGACCATCATCTTTCTGGGGAATCCCATGAACTATTTCCAAGACGGACAACGACACCCCTGGGAACTGCTGGACATTGATCAAGCCTCTGAGCTCGCAAGAGCAGGAACCAGCTTTCTCATCATCTCGCCCGAGAACATGCAGAGCCTAAAGGGGTTCAGTCATCTGGTCTCCAGCGGCGTCTCGCCCTTTCAACCAGCTGATGCTTTCACCCAAACCAGCAACATCAAGGACTTGCTGACCAAGCTGATCCCCAAGACAGCCCCGACTCCTGCACGTGTTGTCTTGCCGGTCAAGAAGAAGTTCATGAAGAAGCTCGACAAGACCCTCGCCGCAACTGCCAAAACAGCCCAGCAGAAGCTCTCCGACACCTTTCCCCTTCGCCGCTTTCTCATTGCGCCCTCCAGCCCAATCAGCGACCCCAAAGCCAAGGAAACCGGCCTCGACATCATCGAAGGTCTTCCGCACTCCACCAAACTAGTCGCCACTCTCCAACCATTCCGCCCCGACTCCCCTGTGATTTCAGAGTACAACATGGTCATGCTCGCCCACTCCCTCCCCTTCTCTGACCAATGCGCCATCTTCTGGAACCTCGCAGGAGTAGACACCACCTACGGAGTCCCCACCTCGACAATCTACAAGGGCTCCTCCCTCTCCCATCTCCGCGTCTACGGCGACGGCAGCACCGCCCAAAAGGTCAGCGGCAAAGCCCTCGAGTCCCTCACCTGGTCTCTCTCCACCCTCCTCGCCTCCGAGATAACCCACTTCCGCTCCGGCTCCGGCACCTCCTCCCTCCCCCTTTTGTCCCAACTCCCCCTCCTCTCCACCTTCATCACCTCCTTCCCCGGCAAGGGGTTCACACCTGCCGAAATAACAGCCACCTTCACCCCGCTGACCCAACTCCTCGGCTTCCTCAGGGGCGTCACCTCCCCCCTGACCCTCGGCCAAAAGTTGGGCGCCAACCTCACCAGAGCCGGCAAGCGCCGCACCAAACTCCGCAGCGTCGTCCTCAACCAACTCTGCAGCCCCGTCGTCAAAGCCATGCCCCCCTTGCCAAAAAAGACGACCGATCCCGAGGGCGTCGTGACCAAGAACAAACCCCCCGGCGAGGAAGTCGCCGACGTGGAGAAAGAGACCAAGAAGCAGATTCTGGAGGTGAAAAGGTCGGGCGCGAGGGGAGGGAGGGGGATGAACAGGATCCAGAGGGTGAATATGGTTTGCTCGCTTCTGCTCGAGGCCCTGACCGGGACGGAAGGGGTGGGGTTTGTGGATGTGATTAACGATCCGGAGGCGGGGGGGGAGAGCGTGAGGGTGTTGGGTAGTTTTGCAGAGTATGACCAGTTGCTTGCCAAGTTGGAGGAGAGGAGGGGGAGGTTGGAACGGGATATCGAGTATAGCTTTGGGAGGTTGAGCGGGATGGTTCAGAGGGGGGGGACGGTCAGGGCGGAACAGCAGCAGCAGCAACAGCCGCAGATACAGAGGCGGGCGACGGAGCCGGGTGGAGGAGGTGGTGGTGAGGGGGATGAGATTAGCTTCGTGAGTAGGTCCATGACTGTCAGTCCTGTCACGACGGTGGCGTCGCCAATTGTGTTTGGAAGGGGGCCGGTCGAGGTGTTGCGTGGGGGTATTGGGAAAGAGGCGAGTGTGGCGGAGAGGGTGGAGGAGGTTGTGTATGCACATGAGTTACCCCTTACGGTTCCTATTCGTGGTGCTGAGTTGGCAGCGTGAAGGGGGATTTAATATACATCGGTCTCTGGTTTAGGTACCGAGGTAGGTAGGTAAGGGGTGGTGCAATATATCCTTCGTTTTACTTGATCACAGCGCTTGCGATATCTAATGACGCCGCACACAGAAAGGTATATCGAGTAGAGGTGAAGGGGGCGTGTGATGGCAAAACAATATACAATTGGTGTTGCCAAACATAAGGTTTAAGCAGTAACAAAACTGGAAGTTCGGCCTCATTCTTTATACATCTTCACCATCCTCCTTTTCTCAGTCTCCCATTCCGGGGGGCCATATAACTTCCAGATGCGCTCCCAATCATACTTGTTCACCCCGATGGGCGTGTGATCAACCTTGACTTCTAAATCAGGCAGAGGATCGAACAATCTGGCTGCATAGATCCATTATTAGCAATGATAAAGGGAAAAAGTAAACAAGGCAAGTGAGTATATGCTTACGTGCTCCTGCAGGTGGATCGGGATTGTTTCTCGGAGCATACTTCCACTGGTCGTACTCGTAGATGGCATTGAAGTCTGTCCACATATTTCCCTTGACTTTGGGCCCGGGATGCCTTGTAGCGCTACGGCCGCCCTCTATATCCCCGTGGTTTCATGTCTGGATGGCGAACCTATAGACGTCCCAACGCTTAAAGTCCAGACGCTGCAGCTTCTTTTTGAAGTTCTCTTTCGATTACACTTCGACATAATTGTGCAGGTGACATGCCTGTGCGAATAGACGGACGTAGTCGGTGAATATGGGACGGACGATCTGGGTCTTCTTGTCTTCTTTGGAGCCTTGCTTCCTTTCGTGGACCCCAAAACATCGCTCCGTCATCACCTTTCTGAGTGCCTTCCATTCCTGTTCTCAAGCTGCAAATGCAGCTCTGTTCTGAGCTCTGAGTGCGTAGTGCTGGACCGTATAGTGTATTGTGATCCATTTGTTTATGAAGTCGGGGTGTCTCTGAAGTCTCTCCCGTGCCCATTCACGCCCCTTGTGTTTTGGTAGGGCCCCGGCCATGGCTACGACTGGAGGCGACGCGCATGATATGTTTGAGGCTGATGGGAGGGTGGCCCTCGGCCAGCATGTTGCCGTCGCCCGTCGAAACGCCGACCATTATGCGATCGACTTCGTCATCCACTCTTGTCGCTTCGCTGTTGTCGGGGTCGTATTTTAGCCAGCGTGACTTTCTCCCTGGTCCATTGGCCAACCCCCAATGCTGGAGAAGCGTGCGCAGTCGTATATCGGCCAGGTACTTGAAGCTCTCCTGTTGTGTCTTGACAATTGCTCTGTCTGCAACTCATATTCCTGCTTCAGTGCACCTATGGCTTTCCTGATCCTCTCTATGCCTGTCTCGTTGCCCTTCAGCACAGTTGCATTCATTCTCTTTTGTGCTTCAGGGTGACTCTGATAGGCATCAAGCAATGCTTCCAAGCGGCCATTTTCTTTTTCCGCCTCCCGGAGCCGTTTCGTCAGCCCGTTGATATTGCCAGCCACCCTCTCAAGCTCTTCAAACGTTGACTTTTCAGTGTCACCGGCCTCGTCCATTTCCTCGGCTACGACCAGTCTAGCTTGGTGGATTTGTTGCAGTTGTTCGTCAAATCGTTGTGTCCATACCTTATAGATTTGTTCAATCGCTCGGCCCCCTTCCTCGCTCGCCCACCAGACCCTCTTGCCGGCTGGATCTCCAAGATCTTTGAACCGGAAGCTTCCCAAGTCGTTGTAGGCCTCACGTGCTTACCGGAGGGCACATAGATCAACATCCACCTTCACTGTCTCGCCCAGATCGTTGTAGTGCACCATATTGACCCACTGTTCTGGGGTAACAAAAACGGCGACAGACCTCTTATAGTCTCCATCTACAGGGCCGTATTCAGGGCGAAGATATGGCTCGTTAGGAGGCTTGTGTTCTACGGCCAAGGTTGCTTCCAGAGTTTCGGCTAGCAACTTTTTCCAGCAAGTGATAGGCGTTTTATGTCTGGAAGAACAGCATCACTTCCAGGAGCCACAGTTGCAGCCACGGTCGGGGCCACCGGTTTGGGCTTATTGGGAGGCCTTTTTCTGTTATTCTTTCTGCCTGGCATTTTTGCGACTGTCGTAGCAGTGTTGGATTCAAAGAGTCTTGTGTTTTTGTGTGTCACAGAGGTTTCGTGTTTCAGTTACCTAGCTGCCAGGGTGAGGAGTGCTCTTGATTTTGCTTTTAATCAACAAGGTCGGGACAAAAGCGCACGCTATACAGATATAACGTGCGTGATAAGCGAGCCGAAACAGACAAGCGAGCCGAACACTTTCCAACGCAGCGCAACCCTCCGACTTCTTTCACCAACTTTACTACTAATTTACTATGAATTTACTTCCAACCGAATCTCGAATTATTTTAGCCCTCGAAGCTATTAAAAACGACCTAAATCTTAATTTTCGACGCGCAACTAAGCTTTATAACGTACTAATTATAATTCTCTATAACCGACGTGCTGGCCGGCTTATATAACGTAATATACTAACTAACTTACATAAGTTTACTAATTTAGAAAAGAAAATAATTATTTAATATATTATTAAGCTATATATACGCGCATTATATTTTCAGCTTTCGTATATAAAAAATATAGTTAATCGATTATTATATAAATATAACGCGCCTCCTATTAATATACGATAAGCTTATAACTTTATTAAACGTTAGTTAGAACTTCGGACGCGTTTTATATGTAAATATAATTATTAAAGGGTTAAATATAAGGATTTAAAGGTTATTAGTAAATAGTTTACTTTTATACGGAATACTAAAGTTAAGTACTGTATTATAAATAATAATATTTATAATTTTAATAAAATTAAATTTATAATAAATATTATTTCCGTAAATATAATAATTATAATTTTTAATAATTATAATAAAACGAAACTAATTTTGTTTAATAATTATAAATAAATAATAATAATTTAAAAAATTAATACCCTTAGCTAAATTATTATTTCTTTTATTATTTTAACCGTATAATATTATTTTATTAATTAATATACCGAATATAATTTACTATTTATTTAATATATTATAATTATTAATAATAATTAAATTATTAATATAATAAATTTAAATTAAATTAAGTATTTCGATTATTATATAGCGTCCCGTATAAAAAATAAATATTAATTATTAATCTTTAACGATTACGAAAATTATTATTTAATTAAATTTAAATATTATTATTAATAAAATAATATAATTACGCTTTATATATTTCTATATTTCTTTTACCTCTTTTAATTATTTAATATTAATTACTTTAGGTTATTAAAATAAATATACGGTCGTTAGATCGAGGATTTAATATATATATATATTAATTATATAAGTAAATTCGAATTTCTTTATACTTTTCGCGAAACTTTCTTTACCTCTATAATAAAGAAAAATATATAGAATAACTTTATAAATATTAATTTTTTATTATACGATTTAAAGAAAATACTTTTTAAATTAAATATAAAGCTTCGTACGTTAATACTTTTAAACTTACGGCCCGGTACTATATAATTTTAGGTCTCTTAAATACTATATAACTTTCGAAAAACTAATTTATAATTAATATTTATTAAAACTTATATTATTAATTATTAATATAGTTCCCTAACTTTAATATTAATTATTATAAATTAATTTATTAAACGTATAATAGCTATAATATATTAGGTAACTCTCTTTTGTATAAAGAATACTATACTCCGTAAGGCTAACGAGGCACTAAGTAAGCGCCGGAGAGCCAAAAAAACACGTGTGCGGCTTAGAGGGTCACTTACTGTACAAGAGGCACGGGATCTACTGGATCAGAAAGGGCTGTAGGTGAGTAGGTAATCCAGGAAAAATCGATAAAGTGGTGGTGGTGCAAGGGGGTCTCGTCCGAAGATTTAGTGCTGTAGCGTGTGCGGTAAGCCAGGCTATAATATACGCACCTGTAAGGAGGCTACAGAATCATCTAATTCATCTGTTTCTGGTTCAATTATTATAGTTTCCTAGTATTGTGGTTGTGTAATTGAAGATAGTTGTAGTGGGGTGATGGAAAGTGTTCGGCTCGCTTGTCTGTTCGGCTCGCTTATCATGCACGTTAGGTGCCGTTAGTTACCTGTATGGTTTGTGACAAAGTAGCTTCGACGTCGCACATTAGTACCCGTAGAGGATTAAAAGGCAATAAAGGTACAGTGTAATCTGTATCTGATGAAAACGCCGGCCATTTTGTTGGTGTTGGATACGGGGTGATAAAAACCACAAGATATAGCTAATTCTGTATATCTCTGCAAACTCCAGACTGGTGTGAAGAAGTTGATTGAGAGTCTGCATGACGCTTTTGCTTAACATGCGAGTTTCATCTGAGCGCTCTACCGTCCGTGGGATTACTCGATGCATCTGTCAAAGTGAGGTCATAGTCCGGTCACCAACCGCCTGCTCGCCAACCTCTATAACACTTTTTCTGTCTGCAACCCCAAAGTAATTCGGAAATTTGTGCCATCTTGCTTTCTCCCATAAGCTGACACATCTCTTCCACAAGTCACAATGCTCTCCAAATCTCTCACCCAGCGGCTGCCGGGCGTTACACAAGCCCTCGCCAAACGCGCTCCGCGTGTAGTGGTCCCTTGCACACGTCCCATGCAGCTGCAACATCGACTGCAGGTGCAGCAGCCGCCGTCATCGCCTTCATGTTTCCAACGCCGTACAGCCGTGTCGTTCCAGCCAAATCATGACTACCCGGGCCACGATCAAGCAAACGACATGGGAGGACCCGGAGGCCAAGAGTCCTTCCCGGCTAGTATGCCTTATCGAAGGTTTGTCTCTTGACTGTTTTCTCCTTCTTGGCATCGGCGCCAGAGCAGGTCTCTTTTTTTTATTTTTTATTTTTTACCTCGGTTTCTAGAATGACATGAACTAACCAAGGACTGTGGCTGGGTCGGGGAGAGTAGAAGAATTGAATACGAAACATTCTACGGCGTGTTGCTGGCCATCGCCCTCATGTGTATCGCCAAGCTCGTGCAGCAGAACTACGACCCAAAGATGAATTATGTGCTGGTGCATGATAATACAAAGGGGGAGCTGGACGATGTAAAGTACATCCCGATGCCCAAGGTGCGGGAGCAGCCGGTGGTGGCGGAGATCCGGGAGGAGGTGATTATCCCTATCAAGAAGGTTGATAGAGTTGACAAGGTGCAGAGGTGGGCTTGATTTGGATTTTGAATTGCCAAGATTGCATTTGGGGTTTTCGCTACGAAGGAGATAGTCGAAAGATTAGATCCATCAATTCATCATATCTACCTACTTACTCCTTCCCCATCACAGTTTGGACCCCAAACACCATTACAGCTTGTCACACTCGATCTGCGCTACAAGGTAACTAGGTAGGGCTGTGGCTGGGTTGAGTGTTGGTTGTCCGAACAGGCTCGGCAGCCATCTTTGTGCGACGTGACACATGCGTAACCAGGCCTTTAAACTGTTGCCTGGATATCGTATTTCGGTTGTAGGTATGGTAGCAAGTTGGGGGGCACTTTCAACGTCGCAAGGAAGGACTAGAAGCATGGATCCGGCATGACTAGGTACGGTACCTAGGTACGGTTGGTGACAGAGTGGCAGCAGAGTGGCAGCAGCCCGGAGTTATTTCAGGGTGAGGACGGATTTACTCCGGTCGGTTGAGCGGTTTATGACATGGCCGTTGCGGGGGCCTTTCCAGCATTGGCAGAAACTGGAGTAGTTCTGATTCGACACAGAACGGACTGGCCAAGGTACCTTAGGTCAAGGTAGGCAGAGACTGTTGTTCTAGAATACCTAGGTACCTACCTTATGTCGCCACTGCCCGAAAGTTTAAAACTTTAAACTGGCCCGCAAACAAGGTGTTGGGACGGGGAAGTGTGGTGGGTGTCGTCGTTATCGGCTGCTATTTGTGCGCTACAGATGCGCGGGCGTGGCACCAGCTCGGCGACCACACACAATATATCCGCGCCATGTGGCCGGGCCCTGGAGCGGGAGAAGGGGGCTGCGGCCTGGGTTGGCACACATCAACAGTGGCTGTGTGCGTCTACCCAGTCCCTACATCAATGTACATCATGTCGAGGTATGACAACGGCATTAATATCGGTGGGATCTCACCGCATCTTAACGGTTGTCCTTTCTGTTCCGTTAATCACACTCCAGCTCCGTCATAGTATCGTGTTGTCGGGTCTATCTGCCTTGCCAATGACCAGGGTTAGGGTTCTAGCCTTGTGTAACCGCCTCGAACTGTTGACGCCCCTATTCCCCAGTTTGGATGCATTACTGTGTATGCAAAGGTCTAGTGGAGACGCAGAGAACTCACTAGCCGCCAGACGACCCAATATGCCAAGCGTGTAGAGGTTGAAGAAGAGAAGATTATCAGCTTGTGTAACCTGAGCTGTTATGCGGTCCCTGTTCTGGTTCGTCCTCGATGGCTGCAGAGTGGACCAACGGTTCCAAAATCATCCGTCTCGGCATCCGAAAAGATGCAAGTCTGCATGCTTGGATCTTGTGCTCTTCGCTTTGGTCGGTCTGCAACCAACGGGTGACAGGCAGACTGTCACCTCCGCAACCTGCCCTGGGACACTGGGGAGATGGTGATCTTTGATACATATGGTCTTGGACCCCATTCCACCTCTTCCGTGTTTCTCCTGGATGACTTGGTCATTTTGTTAGTCTTAACGGGACTGGAAGGCAGGCAATTTTTTGATCTTACGACAGCCCTTTTTTTGCCACCATCAACCAAAGATAAGGTACGGGGCTTGCAAGCAAAGCAGCAGCTTTCTTGTTGCTCAACCGGGGGAAGTAAGACAATGGAAGAGCAGGCCCAGCGCTCGGGATCCGATGCCAGACGACGAAAAGTCCGAAAGGGAACGCACAGTTGTTGGGAGTGTAAGTCCGCACAATCTCTCTTTTCGCATCTTACCTCCCGATCCGACGTGCATATGATAGCGGCCGCGACCGACCCGACACGCTGGTAACACGCCCAGGGTTCACAACCTGATTAGCTCCAACGGCTTTCTCGCAGGCCATTGGTAGCAAGGCGCTGACATGTATTTGCAGGTCGACGACGAAAGATACGATGCCAGTTTGGAAAGCAAGACGACACCGTGTGCTTGCCTTGCCAGGCACGCGGCAGCGTCTGTCGAAGTCAAGAATTCGTCGATGCTCAACCGCCACAGCTTCCTGACCGCCGCCTTGCCCAGCGCCTAGCCCGTCTCGAGGACCTTGTCGCCAAAGTCGTTGACCGCGTGATGCCTGAGACTGGATCGGGAACCAGTTCAGCTCAAGACCATTCACAGGCCAGTTCACCGACACCGTCTGATGAAACGTTGATGAGCGATGTGGATGGCCAAGAGACATCCCATCTGGGCCTGGAAGTGATGGAGTCGCCTGTTGGTCATGAGGCCTCAATGGCTATGCTGCTGGGCATCCAAGGCAGCGTCAACTCTCTACAGCAACCCACGGCGAGGCTTACAATACCATCACGTCGGTCAACAGAAAGTGTATCGAGCAAAGGGCCAGCTCGCAGACGATGCGAAAAGATTTGTCGAGCCCTACATTCCTTGTTTCCGTCCCAACACGACGTTGACGTTCTTGTCAAATCAACGCCTGCACCCTACTTCATCATCGCCCTGTTCCATAGCTACCAGGACATCATGGAGGGCCTTTCCGAGACTCCTGAGAACATCGCCACAATCCCGCCCCCGAACGCTCATCCCACCGTTTTAGCCAAAAGTTTGATACAGCTGTGCATTTGCATCCAGCAGCAACCCCCAGGAAGCGTGATGCCACAGGAGAGACAGAAACATTTCAACCCCTACAGCTTGATGAACGGCATCGTCTCGAAAGTTTCGCAGCTGGTTACTTCCAACGATGACCTTGTTGGGACAGCTGAAGGGCTCCAGTGTCTTATTATTCTCGGACACTGGCATAGCAATGCAGGAAACATCCGCAAAGCCTGGCTCATCTTTCGAAAGGCACTTTCTCTCGCTACCATGGTGGGCTTGAGTCGTAATGGTACGCAAGCCCTCAGGTTTGCGGATCTGACAACCAACGAGGCCACACGCCCATCACCGATGGCTTTATGGTACTGCATCAACGCAGCTGATCGAAGCTTGTCTCTTATGCTTGGGCTTCCCGCGGGCAGTCCGGATAACACGTTCGCGAGCGAAGAGGCAATGCACAGGGATAGCCCACAAGAACGTTTCACCAAGATTCACACCGTCATTGCGAAGCGGATACTCGACCACAACCTCTCGCTAGTGTCCGATTTCATCAACCAGAAGGCGGCGGTTTCATACCAGCAGATTGATCACGAGCTCGAGCACGCGGCCAAGATCATGCCTTCTGACTGGTGGTTCGTTCCCACATTGCCATCAGAATGGCAGGCAGACTGGGAACAGGCTAAAGCGGCCATCTGCCATCTCGTTCTCCAGATCAACCACTTCAACCTTTCGCTCATCCTCCACCTGCCCTACATCATACGCAGCATATCAACTGGAACCCCTGTTGGCGATGACCACAAGTCCTCCCTCGGCCTTGCCCGCCAAATCCTGCAACGCTACATGGCCTACCAAAGCATCTCCCAATCCCACCCGACCTGGACGTGTTATCAAGTGTCCTACGCAGCCCTCATGGCCTCCACAGCCCTCTGTCTATTCACCCTGATCAACCAGACCAGCGAAGCGGACATCAAGCTCGTCAGCCTCTCTCTGTCAAAAATGCAGCACCTTGCCCTACTCCAACCCCATAACAGGCTATCCCAGTCATCTGTCACCCTCATATCCCAACTCCTCGACATGATCGACTCGGGAATCAAGCAACCCCTCAACCTCAACCTCAACCTCAACCTCAACCTCCCCTTCTTCGGCCTCATCAACATCAACAACGCCCGCACATCCCCTCCACCGACCATGCCACCACCATCACAGCAAGCAGCAAGAAGAAGTGTCAGCTCCTCTGCCCATTCACCACACATGATCCCCGTGCCAGCTACCTCCCCTGGGCCGCCAGGCGGCAGCCTCTCCCCCCATCCACACCCACCACGAGGAAGGCAAAGAAATGTCACTGTCCCGATTGGGTTTCACACATCGCTGACAGATCCTTCCCTTCAGGGCCATGGGCACGCACATCAGAGTCCCATCTCTGGTCGTGGGGGAGGGGATGGGTATCACAATTTGCATCACGGGATGGGGTTTGATGCTCACCAACATCAGCAGCAGCAGACGCAGCAGCAACACTCTGATAATGATAGAAGTAGTAGTTTGGGAGAGATTCCAATGGGATCAGGAGGGGAGGATTGGGTGTTTACTGGGATGGAGTCGGGTTATTGGGGTTTAATGAACCAGGGGTTGTGAGTTGATTTGGGATGTAGCATATACATACCTAGGTGCATTTGGGTGATAGAAATTATAGATAGGAATCAGAGGGTGTTGAACTTTGGATACCTTATAGAAAGAACGAACAAGATACATTCCCCTCACCCACTTCGGCTTCATATTGGCCAATGGGCTTGGGTTGTGGACAAAGGTGGTAAGGTAAGACTTTGTTGTCCTACGCCAGAACGACTCTTTGTCGCTCCCAAGCAATGTTTTCCATCGCCATGTCTGAGTCGGCGGACCACACACCGATTCGCTCAAATATATTTGTGCCAACATCGTCCTTACCCCTGATTACCAGCCCATAGCTCCGTACCTCGTCTTCAAAGAATACTTTGACCAAATGAATCACGAAGACTTCTTGTAGACCCTTTTCCATGTCCTCCAACTTCCAATCGGGAACCCATTTCAACACCGTGGCACTTTTAGTACTCGTGCCAGTCAGCCGAATTCCTTCTCCGTCCGCCAGACTTCCCCTAGCAACCGGTCCACTGACGGTCAGGGTCCCATTATCCACCAAACTCCTTGCCTCCGACACAAGCTTCCCATTCCGCCACACCTCCACATTTTCCACGTCTGTGCAAAAGACAAGGTCATGCTCTTTGGAGTTGATCTTATCCAAGATCCCCCTCGGCAGAAACCCAATCCTACCACTGACCGACGCCCAAGACCAAGACGGCGCACAATACATCTCCTGCCTCTCCTCTACCTCCTTCACAACCCACAACAGCCCTAGAGCCAACAGCTCCGAGTCCCACAACCCAGCCAGATAACCCACCTTTCCTCTTTGCTGCACCAGCTCTGCCACTCCCGCCAACGCGACCAATCGATCTGTCTGCCTCGTCAGCTGCCCCTTGCTATAAACACTCACAATCTCATACCACCTCTTCCAAAACTCGACCTTCTCCCCGAACCTCTGCGTCTCCACCGGCCCCAACCTCTGCAGCACATCCAACGCCCCTCTTATCCCTCTCACCGCTCTCCTCTCCTGGGGAGTATGCCCCTCCCCATTGATGTTGTGCTGCCCCGTCAACGACCGAATCGCCTCGATCCAGTTGACCAACCTCCCATCCTGCACCATGTACGGCGTGCTGTCATACCCCACCCCGTTCACGTGTAGTTCGGACGCCTGGAGAGTGTTGCACTCAAACAGCACCACATCCTCGCAAAAGTGTATCACCCTCCTCGCCAGCAACCTCTCCTGGAAAGCCCACGCGCGGTTGGTGAGCGGCGATTGCTCCACCCTCCAGTAAAAGAGCGCTCTCAGCGGCGGCGGGTTGGAGACAAAACACCTCCTTTCTTCGGAGGTCATGATGTTCTGCTCGACCCACGAGAGCGATCGGTCTCGGAAGCAGCCGCCGGTCGAATCGGACGATGCTGTCGCGGCGAGGACGCAGTGGGCGTGGGTGAAGACTTGGCCCATGGTGGGGGACTCGGCCGCCCAGTCGGCGGGGGAGTCTTGTATGATGCAGAGGGAGTCGATCCAGAGGTAGCAGATGCCTAGCCGGCGGGTGGTGGCGATGGCGTGGCGGAAGTTGAGGGGGAGGGTGTCCTCGGTGATGTAGTTCTTCATGAACCTGTGCCGGGAGGTGGTGAGCTTGCAGGCGATGTTGCCGCCCCAGCAGTGGGAGAGGGCGACGTATTCGCCTGCGCCGTCCTTGAGGTCGATCAGGAAGTCCATGTCGGATTTGGTGTCGATGAGGCGGAGTTTGGGGTTCTTGACCGTGCCGACGGCGATGAGGCGGGTTGGTCGGAATGGAGGGGTGTTGTGGGGGAGCTGGCAGGCTTTATGGCTGGAACAGTCCTTCAGCCAGGTTGTGATGGTCTTGACCGTAGCATCTGAGCCGGTGAACCTGGGGATTTTCTGCTCGGCCGTTAAGAGCCCCTCTGACACTTGTAGACCCAGCTCCTTCTTGGCGCCACCCGCCTCGAGGGAGACGGCCAGGGTCGGCCCTTGTTCTGACCAAAGGGGGTTCCTGACAAACTCAAGCTTCAGCTTGACACCTCCCGCTTCGAGATCACGTTCCCCATAGCGAGTATTCACGGTACCGTAACCCCTGATGAGTATAGGTGCCCCCGTTTCCTCCTCATCTGCCAATCGCTGACTCAACAAAGCCTCACAGAGACTACACCCGCTATCCTCCATCTCCTGGATCCTGTCGCACAGCAGGTGACGCTCCTCTGCTCTCGTAAACATGGCCCATGTCCCAGACAAAAGGCCAGACTGACCGACAACCTCTTTGCACCGCTCGCAAAGTCTGACGTCCCTAAACCGATGCTTGCTCCGGAACCTAGGCCACCGAGTCACATATCTCCCCCCAGAAAGACGGTACACGATACTCGGAAAGTTGCGTATCGGTCGAAGCACAAAGTGGCACCCGAGCGACCACGCAAACCCCAAGATGAAGTAAGCCATCACGCCATACAAGACGGCCGCGAACGCGAACGCCAAGATCATCGCCGGAGCCAGCGAAATGCATATGATGAACTGCACCCTGGTATCGACATCCGCATGCGACAGTGCGGCGAAGATGACGGCGCCAATCAGGCTGGGAATGAAATAGATGACAAAAGCGGGTTCGTCGAACGCGATGAGAATCGCCCAGATGATAAACTCGACGGCGAGAAAGCTTGACCCGATGTCCTCCCCCCCTGGCGTCGGAAAGTACCTGAAGTAGAGGTATGTGACAAGTACGATGGGTAAACCGCCGAGGAATGTTTTGCCCATGTTCTTGGGCGGAGGGCGGCGCGTCCGGCCATATCGTCGTGGCATGTTGGCGGCTCACAGTATTGTGGAAGCTAGTAGTGCAACACCATGGGCTTCCGCTTGATCGTGTAGTTCGTTTGACGTATGTCTACGCTTAGTATATCAACGAGACCCTTGATGCGAAGGAGGTGGCGTTTTGCGGCTGAGTTGGATGACAACCCCCAGACTAGCCCAAAAGGGAAGCATTGCGACATATTATCGGTTTCGATTTACTCCAATCACAGAGTTCCTGCGATGTTGTGCCTTGTGAAACCCAGAAGCACGGGGCTCGAACTCACATTAAAACCTGAAACTTGGGAATTCCAGCTTGGAGAGCCAGTTACCTCAGTTTATAGTGGTCCTGGCCACCCAACCTCCCAGCTTTCTTCGTCTTTCCGACCTATACCCCTAACCGTACATTATAAGCAGTTACGCTACTGCTACTTACCTATTACTCTCCCAACGCCAACCCCAAGATGTCCAAAACGTTCGGCTCGCTCTCAATTGCAACAGGATTCGTAGGAATACACCCATCGGTCATTCAGTTCCTAGTCAGACCGTCAAGACTATCCCTCCCGTCAGTCAGTGATCCTGCCCCCAATGTGATGATCAAATCGGGAGAGAGGCGGTGCAGGTCAGAGGTGACCTCTAGGATGCCAGGCCAGCGGACGTGTTGGCGTATGCCGACGATTTGTCTTGGCCTAGGGCGTCGATGAGGCTGATGGCGATGGGGCGGGAGACAATGAGGTAGATGCGGGAGGCGGCGAAAGTGTTGCTTGTATGGTGGGAGTTGTGTGGGTGTTTTGTTGGTCTGGTTTTGAGGTCCAAGTGTCACTGGTCATGGATGATGATAGGTAAAGTCTTTATTTCCTGTTTAATTCTCCCACTGCGGGCGCGCACCCCCCCACAAGTCAGCCCCGCTTGCCCTGAACACTTAGGAAGATAGGTAGTGAATTTGCTGGCATTGTCATTTTCCTCTTGTGCCTAGAAGTCTTCACGACAGCCATCGACTTCCTCCAAAACCTTTTATTCGGCCGTCAAGTTATTAATTCGTTTCCCATTCTCGGCCTGCCTCTCCCTCACCTCTTCTGTCGACGATGAGCCCTGATTATCCTGGGATTCCCGCGGCTGCACTTCTTGCCGGCTGGAAGATCGTGACCGTAAGCGCATCTGGTTCAGAACATCCACCTCGGACAGGATCCCAGTGTGGGGGCTGTGCCACTGGTGATGATGACGGCGGTGATGGTGGTCAGTCGCAGTGGCGCCTTCTTGTTGCTGCTGAGCATGATTTGGGGAAGGAGTAGTGGATTTCGACTGGGACTGTTGCGATTGGACCTGGGTGGTGAGTTCGGCCTCGGCCACTTGATCGGCCTGGGCTGAGCGGCGGGCTAACATTGTGATGGTTTTTGTTTTTTGGCGAACTGATATTTCAAGGCTGATTCTTGTGAAGTTTATCAAGGAAATATCCGTGATTAATGACTGCTGTTTGGGAAATATTTGCCCTGAAGATTTCTTATCTTTGCGGACTCGGAGTAGTGTTGCGAAAAGGTTTGAGTTCTTGATGGCAAAAAGACTTGGTATGACATCACCGAGCTTATTCACTCAGGATGAAGGGATGCTCCACTTATTGCCATTTTGTGACTGCCGTAGATATGGGCTTGGATGATCGCGATAAGAAGTTTGAAATGATTGGCAATGGACAATTGAGGGATGACGTTTTGCACAGATAGAAGTCTGTTAACTTTGTTGATGATGTTGTCGTGCTTGGCACTCTTGGCTGTGGTGTATGTTTTGCAGGTTCACGATGGTTGCAGCAGTTCAATCTCGCCTTTGCTTTACTTGCAGACTTGGGCTGTGCTATTGAGGTACAGTGGTTGAATGATTATGCAATTTCCAGAAACTGAAAGGTGGCATAAGATGTTCGTTTGGGGCCGTGTCTACCGCTTACTTGAGTCAATGATGATAGTACCTAGGTGGGAATATAAACTCAAGCTAGAAGGCCTTACACAAGATAATGACCGATCTAACGAACCTACCCAGGGAAATGATGCTCTCGGACTTTCTTGTATAGATATGGATTTCTTCACATGATACCTTAGGCAGTCCTATGTTGTCTAAGCCCAGTACAAATCATCTCCGTTGTTGGAGTTCAACATAGGTATGTCCCTTTACCCACCGCGATATCCTGCCATCGACCTCTTTTTCCAGTTTGATAATAAAACAGTATGTCAGGTGTCAGCATCGACACTTATGCCATATGTGATATATCCACTCACTGCCATCATACAATCCTCCATGCCAAGCCCACATACCCTGCAATGGCGCAAGGGCCCATCCTATCAGGCAGATAAGCGAATTTGTAAGCACACACGCACTCCATAGGTCTCTTGACCATGTCAGCACACCAACCGTCCACGCATATTTTCACATCCATACCTGTTCTCGACATCCTTCCACACTTAACACGCCTCATGATAGCAGGATTTATCGAATATCAGAGACAGCACCATGGAGACGGTCTCCCAACTGAGCCGCAGAAAGGGTACGCAATTTTCCTCCTCGTTGTCTGTGACCCCTGAAGTGGAACAATCGACTAAGATGGCTTCATAGCCTGCGACCTCTGCTTCGTCAAAAAGATCAAATGCGACATGGTTAAACCTCAGTGCTCCAACTGCAAGCAATACAACACCGAGTGCAAAACAACAGCAGTACGTCGTCGGATTGGCCGGCCGAAAGTGGCGAGGCACGACACCAACGCCAGCGCAGAGACAGACTCACCCGATGAGCACGAAGCAGCTGCGTCAAAGGTGGACAGGTGAGCTTCTTGGTGATTGATTGAGGAAGGCCACAAGCGATGCTGATGCCACGCAGCGAGCATAGCGCCAAAATCCAGGGCCTGGAGTCACGTCTCGCCCACATTGAGGAGCAGCTACAACAAGTCCTCAGTGTTGCCTCGGCCGCCCTCGCCAGCGCAAATCGAATTCCCGGGTCGAGGGTTATAACCATGTCCAGCGGCGAGGAGAGCGACTTCGACAACGCCATCAGGGTACGCAACACCCTTCCTATGCCCAGCTCGTCAACCGATACATCCGGCCCCAGTGCAGGCTCGACCGCAACCTCCAGCCCAAGCGAATCCGTCATCCGCGCCTCCTCACCTAACCTGCCCCCACTAGAAGAAATTCTCCCCATCATCAACACGTACTTTTCCCAGATCAACCACGCCATCCCGCTGTTCAGCCAAGCTGAATTCATGCGCATGTTACATGACTGGTACACCCATCCCGCCCGCAGGACTTGGGCGGCATGGGCGGCTGTCAACATTGTGTTGGCTCTTGGGTCATGGATCCCCACTACGCCGATCCAAGATATGAACTTTGCCGAGGCAGAGACGGCTTTCAAGGGATACATGAACAACGCCCAATCCGTCCTTGCCGAGCTGGTTACGCGCGAGGAAGATCTGTTGGGCCTTCAGACGTTGCTTGGACTCGTGATCCTCTACCAGACCATGGCAAACTCCAAGCAAGGAGCTGTGCTGATAGGTGCTGCTGTTCGGCTAGTTCATCGGTTGCAGATGCAAAGTAGGAACAACATCGAGGTGTCGTACCCGCAAGAGCAGGGACTGCACAGGTGTCGTTTGTTTTGGATTGCCTACATGCTTGACAAGGAGATCTCGTTGAAGCATCACACGCCGTCGATACAATTGGATGCTGATATCGACCAGGACCTTCCGTCAAGCGATCCGGCAGACGGGGTGGGCGACATATACACGGGCGACGGTCTAGTGCGGGTGAATTACTTCCGTCTGCGCGTTCGCTTGGCGCATATTCAAGGCCGAACATATGACATGCTGTACTCCACGCGGAGCAGCAAGATATCCATGGCCGGGAGACAAGCGCGCGTGATCAGACTGACATATCTGCTGGAAAACTGGAGGTCAAACATCCCGGCCGAGATGCTACCTGATGCCATCAACAGTCGCCTGGGTCGGATGGAACGCATCCTGATGTCTGCGCTATATGGGTCATTTGTTGGTTGTATGGTCATGGTGCATGGAATCTGGAGCCAGCAGGCTGCTTGGATGAAGATCATCTCGGACCGCAGCCTGATGGCGCTGCAGATGGGCAGGACCGACGAACGGAAGTCCTGCATTAACCAACAGCCCCCGCTGCCGTCGGCTTGGAAGAGATGTGTCCAGCTCAGCAGGGAATTTTCCCGAGCCCTGATGCAATTGCCCGAGAGTGATGTTAATATCTGGTAAGTGCCGCGGTACTTGTGAGGATCATTCCAGCTGACTAGATCATCAGGGCCAATTTGGCGGCATTGCTCTCGTGCCTGGTCATTATCTTGACCAACATGTTCCAGTCCCCCGGACACGAGGACTTGGAAGAAGACAGGCAGATCACCCAATGGCTGGTTCGGATGTTGAACAAAGTAAAAGACTTGTCTGTCACGGTGCCGCTCACCCAAATGCACGTTGTCGTCGCCGATCTAGAGCGGCGTGCTGCGGCGGCAGTCGCAACGGCTCAGATGAAGCGACAGGCGCTTCAGGAACGACTGCTCATGATGTCTGGCCAAGCGAGTTGGGGTCAGGAAATCGCCCAGCCTGAGCATGGCGATGATGAGAATGTCGAGCAACCATTGTTTTGGGATACCGAAGCAGTCGACTTTGGGGCACTGGATATGAGCAATGGTCTGGGGGGGCAGACGATTGTCGACTGGCTAGATGGCCAATATCCACAGGGGATGGATCTGGGAGAGGCCATTTCCTAAACGTGTTAATGAATGATTGACATGAAATTGCAACTGGACCTGTCCCCAAGATCGATGGCCTCTCTTGGCAAAGGGACGGCTCGTAGTGTCCACAGCCAAATCCCGGATCCACAATGACGACACCTCTTGTCCACCTTCATCCAATCAGAGTTCATAGATAACCTTATCAATACTTGATTGACCAATGGGAGAGCTCCCGAATGCTGCTTACTGCCCCTCTGTTCCCCCCCGAGCCGTCCGCAACTGCTGCATGACAACGGGCCATTCCCCTCACCTCCCACGCCTCCATCCCATATTCGTCTTCGTGCCATTGACGTGCTTCATCTTCTCTCCTGCGCCTGTCCCGCCTGATACCCTGCTTATAAATCACCCTTGATGAGAGTTCTGTCGCGCCTTGTTCGCAATCGCAACACCCAAATAACAGCATCGGGATTGCCCCTCCACGTCCGACCGTTTGTTCCACGATTCTTTGCAACATCCATAACGACCAGAATGGCTCAGGAATACAAGCTCAAGGGCGTCACGTCCCTGGATCTCAAGCCAGGTGACAAGCAAGAAGTGGAGGTCGAGGGTCTCGATGCCAAGGTTCTCCTCTTGAACGCCGGAGGTGTCGTCCAAGCCACCGGTCCCAGGTGTACCCACTACGGAGCACCTCTTGTCAAGGGTGTGCTGGGAACAGATGGCAAGCTCACTTGCCCGTGGCACGGTGGTACGCGTCTTCCCTGCTTGACATGCTCCCATGTCGTGCTGTGCTCTTACTGATCACTGTTCTTCCCAGCCTGCTTCAACGGAAAGACCGGCGACGTCGAAGATGCCCCCGCCCTCGATGCCCTTCCCGTCTTCAAGGCTACCGAGAGAGACGGCGCTGTTTACATCACCGGCGAGGCCGCTACCATCAAAGCCGGCCACCGCAAGCCCAAGTTCAAGTGCAAGGCCACGGGAGGCGACAAGGTCGTTATTGTTGGAGGTGGATCTGGAACTCTTGGGGCTGTAGAAGGCCTTCGCGAGACGGGGTACACCGGCCCCATCACAGTCATTAGCAACGAAGGTTACCTGCCCATTGACAGACCAAAGCTCAGCAAGGCTTTGTTGACCGACCTGAACAAGCTCCAGTGGAGAGACGCCGAGTGGTACAAGGAGGGCGATGTGGATATTGTCCAGGACGAGGTGGCTGGCGTGGACTTTGCCACCAAAACGGTCTCGACCAAATCTGGCGGCAAGTTTGCCTACAGCAAGCTTATTCTCGCGACGGGTGCCACGCCAAGAGTGCTTCCTCTCCAAGGCTTCAAGGTGCTGGGCAACATCTTCACCCTCAGAAACGTCCGCGATGCCGAGAACATCAACAGGGCCATTGGGGAGAAGGGCAAGAAGATTGTTATCGTCGGGTCCTCCTTCATCGGCATGGAGTTGGCTGTGGCCACTTCCAAGGACAATGATGTGACTGTGGTGGGAATGGAACAGGTTCCACTTCAGCGGGTTCTCGGTGAGAAGGTTGGTGGTGCCATCCAAAAGCTGGTGGAAAGCAAGGGCGTCAAGTTTTACATGTCGGCTGGCGTTGAGAAGGCCGAGCCCTCGGGCTCTGACCCATCCGTGGTCGGGTCAGTTCACCTGAAGGATGGCACCAAGCTTGACGCTGATCTCGTTATTCTGGGTGTTGGCGTTGTTCCGGCGACTGAGTACCTCAAAGATAACAGCGTTGTCAGGTTGGAGGAGGATGGCAGCCTAAAGGTCGACGAGTCGTTCTCTGTGGTGGGTCTCAAGGACGTGTATGCTATTGGAGACATTGCCTCGTTCCCCTACCACGGACCTGCCGGTGACGGCAAATACGTCCGCATCGAGCACTGGAACGTTGCCCAGCAAGCTGGACGCATTGCGGCTGGACACATCACCAACCCAGCACGCGCCAACCTCAAGTCGCAGCCGTTCGCCCCCATCTTTTGGAGTGCCCTGGGTGCCCAGATGCGCTATTCCGGCAACACACAGGCCAGCGGGTTTGATGATGTGGTTGTTCAGGGCAGCTTTGACGAGGGCAAGTGGGTGGCTTACTACACCAAGGGGGAGACTGTCGTGGCCATGGCCAGCATGGGCAAGGACCCAGTCATGGCTCAGTTTGCGCAGCTGCTGCCGCTGGGCAAGCTGCCGAGCAAGTCCGAGTTGCAAAAGGGGCTCGACTTGCTGAGTCTCGGTCCACCGAATTAGGATTGTGTTAACACAGGCTCTCTCAAGTTTCGGGGGGGTTGTTATCCGTGGCTTAAGGATGAGTGTATGACCTGAACACTGGGCATTTTGAATTGTTTGTTTGATGGAGGGTTCAAGTTGAACTAGAAATATATGATCACTATCAAGAGGCCAATAATGCCAGCCACCTCGTTGAGATGATCGAAGATGATGGTACTAGTTGTTCAAAGCAACCAACCCTAACCCTATTTGTTCAGAGGAAAAACTGTGACGTTGCTTCAGCTTGTCACAGAAAATGCGTGGCCGAGTCAACGTAGACCTGCGACAACACAACGGCCATGTTCCGCGACGATGCATTTTTCCGACGCTCTCTTTGCTTCAACCCCACTCTTTTGATTTTTTTTTTTGAATCTGTTATTAATGAGCACAATTTTCACCGCTACCGCCCAGCTCCTGGGGTGGTCGCTCTGTTTTGTCTTGACCACCATCGCCACGCTCGCCTTCTACAGGGTGTATCTGCATCCTTTGGCGGGGTTACCAGGGCCGAAGTTCGCGGCGGTCTCGAATGTTTGGTTGGCAAGGTGGGTGGTGAAGGGACGGGTGAGGGAGCTGACCAAGTGGTTGCATCAGACATATGGGCCTGTCGTGAGGGTTGGGCCGGGGGAGGTGTGGGTTTGTGGGGTGGGGGGGTTCAAAGAGATTTATGGTAGGTACTGGGTACTCATCTGTTGGGGTATGGTGATTGGGATGCTGATTTGGGGGGGTACCTACCTAATAAGGGGTCACGAGTGGGTTTGGGAAGGGGGAGTTTTATGGTGAGCTTTGAACCGACCAGAGATGGACCTTGCTTTGGTTGGAGGAGGGAAAGAGACTGATGGGAGAAGCAGTGGCGACGGCGTTGAATAAACCGGCTTCGGTAAACCAGTGGAAGTTGGGGCTTGTGTGGCCGGATACGTTGGATTTGCTGTCGGAGTTTGATGGGAAGAGGTATCGGTTGCAGAGGAGGTTGATTGGGCCGGTGTATACTGCCAGTAATGTTAAAAGGTTTGAGGGGGCGGTTGATGGGGTTGTTGCTGCTGCTGTTGCGAGGCTGAAGGTCATCGAAGGCTGTGGAGGGGGCGCGGGAACGGTTGACTTGAAGGAGTGGATGCATATCATTGCTGTTGAGTGCTTGGGGGCGGTGGTGCTGGGGTGGTCGCCGGGGTATATCAAGAGTGGGAGTGATGGGGGGACGAGTAAGCAGAGCTATATGGGATGGAAAAGGAAGAGCCTTTTTGGGTTGTTTCCTGCTGTGACAAAGGTGTCGCTGTTGGACTCTGGGATGGGGAAAAGGGTTGGGAAGTGGTTAGGGAGGTTTTGGGCAGATGCTTGGGGAGTTACCTTTGCGACGCCGAAGGGGTTCAAACCTTTCTTCACGGTATGTGTGTGATGGTGGTCTGTCAACGATTGAGCTGACAGAGAGTAGCCGGTGTATCAAAAGGTGTCGAAACGAATCACCGCCGCTCTGGCCCCTTCACAAAGCGCAAAAGCTAAAGTGAAGAAAAACAAATCACCGGAAGTGAAAGAGGACCTGCTCACCGACTTGATACAGCTTCACCTCTCCCGGCCTGACGAATTTACTGACAACTACCTCCGGCGGATGGCAGTCACGAATTTCGGCGCGGGACACGAGACGTTGTGCGCTACACTGACCTCGGTTCTTGCCATGATTGGCTCGCATGCTGAAGTCGAGGCACGATGTTTTGCAGAGATTAGCAGCTGTCTGCAGGGTGGGCCACACAAGAGACGATATGATTTGGAAGATGTTACGAAACTGAGATACACCCAAGCCGCCATCAAGGAAGCGCAGAGGCTGTGGCCGGTGATAGGCATGAGCTTGTCCCGAACAGTTCCGGAGGATGGATGTGTAATAGGGGGATATGCCATTCCAGCAGGCACAACTGTGGGCTGTAGTCCGCTTGGGCTACATGCGTTCAATGAAGATGTGTTTGGGGTGGATGGGTTAGAGTACAGACCAGAAAGGTGGCTGATTGAGGACCTGGAAAGATTAAGAGCGATGGAGAGAAGTAACTTAATATGGGGTGGGGGAGGCAGGACGTGTCCAGGGAGGTATTTGGCTGAGATGATTGTCTTCAAAGTGGTCACTGCGCTGCTGGCGGAGTTTCGAGTCGAAGTTGTCGAGATGCCGGAAGAAGGAAACATGGAGTGCTACTTTATGGCGATGATGTCTGGCGTGGTGGTAAGACTCAGAGAGAGGTCTCGATAACACTTGGACAGCAAAATGGAATATCGGAAGCAAAAGTCTTTCCCTACTTACATGAAGATATTTCGCCAACCTAAGTATTACTATCAGTCCAACAACGTCAAAAGACCAACCACACTTCACCAGTGTCTACCACCTCTCAGCCTTTAATCTCAAAAACCCTGCTCACAGCCCCTACCCCATTAGCCGAATACAGGCCCAAAAACCTCCTATCATCCAACCTGAACAACCCCGGCCAATGGCTCCCCCTCCCCGCAGCCACCGCCGCCCTCTCCCCTTCTCCATTCCCATCTCCTACCCCCTCCCATCTCCTACCCCCATCCCTGCTCAAAACAATCTTCATCTCCCCCCCATCCACTCCCTCCCCGCCCTCCGACTCACTCACCCCCTCATTCGTCATAAAACTCACCACCAAAACCCCGCCCACGCTCACGACCTGCGGCGCCCCAGCATCCTTCCCCTTCCTCGCCGTATAAACCCTCCTCCTCGTGCCCTGCCCCCATGTCTCCCCATCATCAAAACTCTCCACCAAACTCACCGCAAACCTCCTCCCCCCCTCCTCCTCGGTAGTGGTCTCAAAAACACAAACCAACCTCCCCTCTTCTCCTCCCCCAACCTCAGCAACCCCCACCATCCCATCCCTCGATTCTTTTCCCTCCCCCGCCCTCGACACCAAAACCTCCTCCCCCCAAGTCCGCCCGCCATCGACACTCACCCTGAGCATGTTATCCTGCCTGTTGACCCCCCTCTCACTGCTATAGTAAACCTGCACCCTCCCCCTCCCATCCACCCTCAAAAACGGCTCCCACAACCCGTTATTTTCTTTCTTCGCTGCCCGCTCAGAGGCGTGGGAGAGAAACTCCCATGTTCTTCCAAAGTCGGTGGAGACGCACAGCGTGATGCGGTAGTAGGTGTATTTTCTTGTTAGCGGGTCGATGTCGTGGTTGCGGAAGGCGTAGAGCATGTTTCCGTTGGGGAGCTGCAGGGCGAAGGGGTTGTCAATTTCGTGGGTCGACGCGTTGGCTGTCCAGATGTGGGAGAGGAAGGTCCAGGTTTGGGTTGGATGATGGCTGGAGGTGCTGGCGGAGAGTGTTTTGAGGTCGTTTGAGTGGTGGGTGGTGGTGTAGGATGTTAGGAGTAGGGGGCTGTCGGGGGTGGGGGAGGAGAGGTTGAAGAGGGTGGTGGCGCGGGGGTAGACGGCGTTCGGGTGGATGAGGATCGGGGGGGAGATTGGGTTGAAGGAGAGGGTTGGTGGTGGTGAGCGGGGTGGGAGGAGGGGGGTTGCGGCGATGAGGGGGAGGGGAGATAGTAGCAGGTGGAGGAGGACCGAAAGGAAAAAGTAAGTAATCATTGTGATTAAATAGTGGATGCCCGTATTGACAAAGGAAAATGCTTTTCGAAAGCCAAGGCTGTGTAAGGTATGTGTAAAAAGTGAGAGTGAGTCCCTGACCCTGAAATGAAACTGCCCCTGCTCTCTGACATAGATGAGAAACAAAGGTTGGGACAGAGGGATATATACATGCATCATCAGTCCATCAGAAACATCATGCCGGGCAGCCCAATCCCAACCCCCCCCCCGCAATAATTATCAACAAAAGAATTTCCCCCCAGGCACCCGGGGGTTAGAGTTTGGCTCATACACAGGCTAACCAACGGCCTGGACGTTTTGCCCAAATCACTCGTACACTGACAAGAACCGGCCCTGAAGACCGGTCATCAAGCCGTCCAAACTGATGTTGGTTGGCTTCCTCGGCGGCTATTTTGGAGCTGCAAGATAACACACAACATCAGTATCACCGCTCCGGAAAGCAGCCTGGAGTGTCAAGACCGCGAGGCAGTGCAATCTCACCTCGGAAGCAAGCAAACCACGTGGCCGCAAAGGCAACACACTCCACCGGATGGAGGTATCACAAGCCGTGTCGTATCAGTCAGCGGTGCCTCCCCTTCCAGAAACCCCAACTCGGGCGTGTAGGGTAAAGGGGTGTTGTGACGTGGTGCACATTCTCGGCCACCTATCGGTGTTCAACTACTACCCCTTCGCCGTGAGCGCCCTCCCACTCGGCCTCTCCACCCTGGAAAGTGACACCTCGTGTATAAAGTGTGACAGGGAAGGGTCCGACTTGGCGTATAACACCAAGAGGCTCCTCACTTCTCCTTCTGTGAGCAAATCCACCGACTGGCTCAGAGTTCTCTGCCGTGGCGGTGCGCGTTCGACTTGCTGGTCGTTTTCATCTTGTGAAGGTTCGTCCCAGTCGTCACTACGGCAGTCAATTGTTTCTTGGCTCGAGGCCGAGGTTGGAGGTGTGATATCCGCCAGGGGAGTTCGTGGGGTTTTGGAGAGTGGTGTTTCCGTCACGGGCTGGGTGTCGACCATGTCTTCCTGTGTCTCCTCATCCTGCCGAGGGTCTGGTGATATTCTCAGCGGAGAGACGGCGCGTCTTTTTCGGCGCTGCTGTGGTTGGAACATCTCGGCTTGTTGTCCGGGAGGTAGTGATCCTGAGAGGGATGCTGATGAAGGGGTGCGAGCGTGTCGGGGTGAACGTGGTGAGTGACTGTGAGATGATCGCGATGATTGCAGGTGGTGAGAAGGTCGTGGTGAGTGCGGCGGTGGTCTCATCGCAGGCATATCGGCATGGCTTGATGCTGGTCGACCTGATGTCCTCCGCAACATCTGCGTCGCAGCCCTCGCCGCTGGGCTCTCACTGGCACCCCTCTCGACATGATGGCTCTGTTTCTGCACACGTCCGCTAGCCACCTGATGCCCCGCCGTCATGAACCGCACCATTCGCGGCATCTTGGGGGAGGACTGGGCGGTAGGTGGACCATTTTCGGCAGTGCCTGCTAGTCCAGGCCGGGGGTGGTTGCTGTGGCGTCTTCTTGACGATGGATGCGACGACGTCAGTGAGGACCTTCGAGAGTGACCGCGTTCGTGGCTGCTGCTGCCATGAGAGTTCATGGTCAGCTCGGGAGAGTATAACATCTTGTTGTCGACCGTGTGACGGCTGCGGTGTTTCTTCTTTTCACATGCGCATGCGTGATATTTGTGTAAAGTTGGAAATAACAACAACAACAAAGACTTTGTCTGTATTTCTTTGTGCGAGGGGAACGCGCGACTGGGGGTCGTGTTTACGACAGGGATAACGCGTCCGCGATGCGACGTTGATGTATTTCATGTCATTACCTCCCCCACTTGCCCAAAGAGGTCAAGGCAGTCACAAAGAATTGTATTGATTACACGCTCGGTATCGTTATTTCCATTCTTTTGTCAACAATCCCTCAAAACCCGCCAATATATCGCGCCCCAGCCACCACGACGACCAAGTTCATCATCATGACTGGAACTCTCGACCCCTCTGCACCACCCGTCGCAACACTCGTCTCAGCAGCAGCCGGTGTGTCCACCCCAGCGAACAGATTTCCCCTCCCCGACTCCCCTACGCTCGGCGTGCTACAGCTCTCATTCGGCGGCGTCCCGGGCAGGTAAACACTCGACACTTTGATCTCGGTCGAGTTGAAGCAGTTGGTCTCATTCACCTGCGGAACCAAGGCAGGGTCGTCGGTGAAAATGATGTCGGAGCACTGCACATGTATTGTCATCAGCAACCTCACCAGCTCAAGACATCACTGGGATAACAAACACTAAACTGCCCAGCCCCATGGCTCGACGCCTCAACAACCTGCACGCTCGCCCGATCACCGCTCTTGATTCTTGTCGACCACACCGTCCCCGGAACGTCCAGCTTCGGGATGCAGACCGTGCCCGGGTAGGGGTTGTTCGTCGGGCCGTTGATGTAAAACTTGGTCAGGGGGAAGGAGTAATTCTCCGGCTTCTCTCCAATGCCCAGGTTGATGTAGATGAGGGCTGTCGCGTGGCCTTGGAACCACCCGGGCTGGAGGGCGACGGCGCCGCCAGAGATGGGCCAGTAGGTGCGGTTGGTGGTTGGGGAGACGCCGCCGCCTTTTTGACCGGTATCACCTTCGGTCAGCGGTGTTGGCCATCAAGGGTTGGGGGAGAGCTTACAAGGATACATCCACTGCATTCCAAAGGGAAAGGTTGCATTCGTGACGAGGTTGTTGGCTCGCCAGCCTGGGTAGGTGACAACCACATGCGCCTGGGCGACATGTGCCAGTACAGTTGTGAGAATGAACAACATTCTGTTAGTTCAAGTAGTGATAGAGGTAGGTATGGTTGAGGATGGATCAAGTTTGGAAAGAGGGGATGGCACCCCTTTTCATCGTCGACAGACAAGTCCGAGGTGCCCAGTCATGTCTGGCTCTCAATGACAGGGGCGGTGCCTTACCAAAACCCAGTGTAGGCGACTGTCCAGCATTGCATTCTGCGCCACGGAAATAATTTATTATATGGTTTTTGCTAGGCAACCATCAACAGCAGAGGCAAAAGATCGACGAATCCATTATATTGTGACGGGTATAACTATGAAGTCAATAACAAAAAAGAATATCCTCCCAGTTCCTCCTTCCGTTGTGATATAAATCCATTAGTATCCATGCCAGTCTCATCGGGGTATCGGGTATCGGTGGTATCATAAGCCATATCTTCGTCCAGCTCCTATCCACTCCAAACATATCTCCTACAAATCATGTCCAGACCATGTCTCGCATCGTGTGAGTTTTCGAATGTCTCTGATCAGAATGGTGCCGCCCAGTGTTTAGACAACAGCAGTGGTGCGAGCACCGCCGCGGTAGAAGCCGTTGTGCCAGTCGTAAAGGACGTTGAAGAACAGGAAGAAGAAGGCGATGAAGCTAAAGGCCTCGACCGCATGGAGAAGGGAGCTGTTGCTGTAGGTGTAGCTGCTGGCTGTGAACACCACGACCACGAGCCATAGATAGGAAAAGATGAGGTTAAACAGCAAGACGAAACCAGGGCGACCAGCGAGGAAAAAGGCGGCGAGGTAGAAAATGGTGGTGAGGACAGACTGCAAAGGTTAGCTTGGTGCTCGTTGAAAACGATGGTGGGGGGTGGGGGGGAAACACATACAATAACCAGAGAGTAGATGACAAAGTCGCCGCGGGTGCCCTCAGAGACGAGGTAAGCAAGAATGCCCATGACAATGACGGCCGAGATCCAGACGATGGCCGAGGAGGCCAAAAGGAAGGGGGCCAGCCCCGTGCGGGCGGAGGTGCGGCCTGTTCGTGCCATTGTGTGATTGGTTTAGGCTTGAGGGTTGCTGGTGGTCGGGCTGGAGGAGCTTGGCTTCACTGGGTAGTGGAGTGTAAATGGTGAACTGGTTGAACAGAGAGGAAGAAATTCACCTGACCACAGACTGGACAGACTGGAATTTATATCATGGCAACCCAAAGGTGCACATCGGGCTTCTCGCGGTGACATCTGGAATTCCACAGAAATGACGAGAAAATGGCATTGACTCCAAGCCAACCAGTGCTTGTCAACGGGCTGGAGCCGGGTGTGACAAGACAGCACCAGCACTGGCCAGCAATTGAAGCCGGTTGCCGTTAATGCCGTTGGACGAATCGTTGATCAGCGGCCGTCGGCTTGGCCATGGGTAGCTACCGGCGCGTGATGGGAGAGCAGCAGCCACTGACGGCATCCCGCCAAATATCTTGGCGGTCTGGCTGACGTCGAAGGCTCGCGATGCCCACTCGTTGGTTGAGTCTTTGATCGATGACGTCACATCTTCATGCACATGTGAAACCATTCTTTTTTGCTATGCCAAGGAACCAGGAAGTACTGACAAATGGAAAATCAGGGTTTCCAAGGGTAGCTCCGGGGCACTCTTGAAACAATTCGGGAGATGGAGAATGCGTTACTGGAAGAGGCAAGCCCAGTTGAGAGCATCCGAAGTGTCGTTGATCCTATGCCGGGCCGAACCGTGTCGGGCCGGGTCACAAAAGGTCTCCAACAAAGCAATATCCAAAGGTTATTCAAGCCACTATACGACTTTTTCGGCATTTCGGCATTATCTGGCCCTTTAGATGTCTGCATTGACAAATAAAAGTTGATAGACATCTAGAGTTGCTACCTGTCCCCTATTATATAGCACTATCGAATATTCCCATGCATTTTTATCTGGGCGACAAGTCGGTTGATGCGTGGCATTCGCTCAAGTTCACAGCTTGTTCTCAATCTTATTTATTAGTCCATTAGTCCCAGAAATGAGAGCTTGATAAGACCCGCAAGCAAGTTGCGGAATAAAAGATGGCTCTGGAAGGGCTTAGACAGACTGCTCCTTCCTCGCAGAAATTTCTCTTTGAGCTGGCGGAGACACTCCACTTCATATCAATATTTCAAGGGCATAGAAGGAGCAACTGCTTCCGCTTCAACTTTCCTTTAACTCGGCCTTGCTCCACTGGCGGAGACTGCCTGCTGCCATCATTGCGAGATGGGCACCTGTACATCGTCTCTCCCTGTGGCAGTACTGTTCGAAACCCTTCCTCTGCCAGTCATAGAAACATTCTCACAGCTAACTCTTGAGTGTGTTTACAATGTTCTCCTTCGCCATTCACGTCTGCAGCGTCTTGCTCGCACTTTCCAGGGTAGGTATTTGCAACTTGATTTCTAGCAACTTTCGACCTGAAATAAACAATTGCTAAGTCTCTCACTACAGTTGGTCCATGGTCTCCCCAAGATCCTGGAGGACCCTGAAGCTGCCGGTCCACCCAGCGGCTACAGCATCGTTCCCATCGAGTGGGACGTGCCCATCGACCTCAACACCCCCGGCAGTGCCACTGTTCACCTGAGCGGTACCATCCAGGACGTCGTGGAGCAGCATTGCGGCTGGTGCCTTGGAGATCTACAACCAATGCCGATGGCCAGGTATCGACATGTGTGGTGGGACCATCTTTTACAAGGATGATTGGAATGTCGTTGTCAAGAAGGACTTTTGTTAGACATGGGCGGGCGGTGCTTTAGTTGTGGAATTGGTCTGCCTAGAGACGACATTAATACTGACTGAGACGGCTACCTTACGTTACACACGACAGAGTACAGAGGAGCTCCTTTTGCAACGTACCTTATCAATCCATGCATCTCTCACCCAATCGGTCCGCCCTCCCGCATCTCCACCTCGGCACTTGGGCAAGCTAGCCCCTCACTCCCGTGCCCCCATGCTCCCCCGGATTTTCTAGTTTCCCCAGATTGTACCTCCGCTGTCAATGCTAGGCGTTGACCGCACGTTGGGGTGTTGCGGGGGGGGGGGGAGGGGTTGAATGCGGCGGTTGGTAGGGCCAATGTTACCAGGCTACAACGACACCTGTTTATTGGACAATATTAGCCTGCAACACACACACCACTTGGTCATCTCTGAGTAAGGAAATCCTTCCCCTCTTGACGGCGAGACTCACAGGTTTTGTGACACGTTAATTACCCGCGAACCGGGTGGTTGGATCCACTTGCAGTATTACACCCGGGCTGGCGGGAGGGAGGGAGGTTATTATATGACCTCCAGCGATTCTCCAACTCGTCAGTGACAAAACCGCTTCTCAACTGTCAACACCACCGAGACAAAGATGGGCGACCGCATCAGCCCCGATCAAGTCGGGGAGGAGGGCAACATGCTCACCACCGACCTCCTCATCATCGGCGCCGGGCCCGCAGGCGCCTCCCTAGCATGCTTCCTCGCCTCGCACGGGAAAAAGGGCCTCCTGCTTGCGTCAGCACCGGGAACCTCGCCCACCCCTCGCGCGCACATCACCAACCTTGCTGGTCTCGAAACACTTCGAGACATTGGCCTCGAGGAACAGTGTCTCTCCCTTGCGACCCCGTCGACAAACATGAAGCACACCCGTTGGTGTCGGTCTTTGGCGGGGGAGGAGTACGCGAGGGTGTACTCCTGGGGCCACGACCCGATCTACAAGGGCGCGTACGAGGCTGCTTCGCCGTGCAAACACGTTGATCTGCCGCAGACGCTGCTCGAGCCGGTGCTTGTGCGGAAAGCAACCGAGGGGGGGTGGGCGGTGAGGTTCAGCACGCGGTTGCTAAAGGTGAAGCAGTTGGACGAGGGGGTGGAGGTGGAGGTGCGGGATGAGATATTGAAGCGGGGGTATAAGATCAGGTGTAGGTATTTGTTTGGCTGTGACGGGGCGAGGAGTCAGGTTGTGAGGGAGGTGGGGTTGCCGTTGATCAAGAAGCCCGGGCAGGGGCTGGCACTGAATGTGCTGGTGAGGGCGGATTTGACGCATTTGATGGAGCCGCATAGGGTGGGGAACTTGCATTGGGTGTTTAAACCGGAGGAGGGGATCGATGGCAGAGAGGCGCCGGCGTGGGGGTGGGCGGCGATTGTGAGGATGGTGAAGCCTTGGACCGAGTGGATGTTTATCTTTTTGGCGAAGCCGGGGATGGATTTGAAGGGGGAGGAGATGGAGGCCACCGAGGAGGAGTATTTGGCGAGGGTGAAGGAGGTGATCGGGGATGAGAGCGTTGAGGCGGAGTTGGTGCACGCGAGCAAGTGGTGGATCAATGAGGTGGTGGCGGAGAGGTATCAGGAGGGAGATGTGTGGGTCTTTTTGTCACGAGTGATTGTGGTGTTGATGTAACTGACATTGGGACAGGTTCTGTCTGGGTGATGCAGTCCACCGCCACCCCCCCTTCAACGGTCTAGGCTCCAACACCTGTCTCCAAGACGCCTTCAACCTCGCCTGGAAGGTCTCCTACGTGCTCGACGGCAGGGCCAGTCCCGGCCTGCTGGACTCCTACTCGCTTGAGAGACAGCCTGTGGGAGTAGACATCATCACCCGGGCCAACGACGGACTAAGAGACCACATCCCCTGGCAGCAAACCCTCGGGATGCCCTCCCCCGACCCGGCCGAGCGCGCCAAGATCCTCGCCGAATTCGAATCCGCGACACCAGAAGGAAGGAAGCGAAGACGGGAATTCCAAAAGGGAATTGAGAGAACAACGACCGAGTTTCACGGACTGGGCATAGAGATGAACCAGAACTATTCTCACTCACCAGCAGTCTACCTTGACGATGAGACAGGACCGGGGCCTGCGGTGCCAGAGGATAAAGTCAGGACACATGTTGTGACGACATACCCGGGGAGGAGACTGCCCCATGTGTGGGTTAACACTCGGATACCAGCGAAGAATATGACGAGCACGATTGACCTGGCTGGGCATGGGAAGTTTTGCTTGCTGACTGGGTTTGGGGGACGCAGATGGAAGGAGGCGGCAAAGTCAGTGGGTGAGAAGTTGGGACTGCAGATCAACAGCTACAGTATCGGCTGGAATCAGGACTATGAAGATGTCTACTTTGACTGGGCAAAGAAGAGGGAGGTGGAGGAGGATGGGTGTGTGCTGGTGAGACCTGATCGGTTTGTTGCTTGGCGGGCAAAGGAGATGGTGGAGGATGCCGAGGGGAAGTTGGAGGAGGTTTTGAGAAGGATACTGGGGAGACCTAGGGAGGCGTGAGGAAAACAGATGTGGTACCTAGGTAGTAGCTATGGAAACAAGTAATATTTGATCCTCGCTTCACAGGTACCACGATTTTCTCTTGGTGATGACCCCGGTCAAGAGGGACGGTGTCACGGTGTGGCCAGACCTCTAAGCGGTTGGAGTTTGTCAGAAGCAGGCTGCGTGGTGGCGTCCAATAAACGGCCATATCAGCGTGGCTCAGCAGGCCCCTCGAATTCAGCCCACGCACGCCAATGCAGGCGCCGACAACAACCACACCTCCCAAGGCAGATCTGGCTGGCATCCCAAGGCCGATTAAATGGTTTGAGGAAGCCAGTCGAGCGGGGTAAAGCCGGGTGGGTGGTTTTCTTCCTTACTCTTTGTGATTCTCTGCCGGAGACTGCTCTCTCGTGAACCTTCAGGTGAGGATCGCTTCACTTGACTTGATCATCAGTATCCCGAGTAATCACACACATCACACCAACCATGGACTCCCAAGCCACAAACATCTTTCGCAAATTCGGCACCAAGAAGAAGCGCGACTCGATGCCTCTTCCAACGAAACGGATAATCCTACCCAAACGCACGGAAACTCGCGAAACGGCACATACCGTCGCAAAAGCCGACCCAGGACCACTACTCCCAGCCAGTACATCTCTCGACCTCGACCGTGCCCTCCCACCACTCCACGACCCCCCCAGCTCCCAACCCCAACCCCAACCCCAAACCCCAACAGCAGAAATCACCCTCTCCGAACCCTGGGTCTCCTCCCATCACCACCACCACCACCGCCGGGCACACTCAACCTCGACCCGCAACGGCACCCCCACCCCCTCGCCATGGGAAGAAGCAGAGATGAACCGCCTGAAAGCCAGCCATGAAGAACAAATCCGGGACCTGAAGATGAAGCTGGGGATGGAACTGGAGGACACGCGCCGCGACATGGCCAGACGAACGCACCAGCTGGTTGAACTCACCCGTCTGCACGACCGTGACAAGGAGGCGGTCGAGCGGGTCATGGAGCTGGAGAAGGAGGGGGAGAAGGTGAGGGAGGAGTTGAACAATCTCAAGAACAACGCCAAGCAGAACTTTCAGATTGCCGAGGAGTGGAAGAAGGCGCATGATGACTTGACGAGGGAGAAGGAGAGGCTGGCGGAGGAGTTGAAAGAGGGGAGGGGGCAGTTGGAGAGTTCTGAGAAACAGGTTGCCAAGCTGGAGGGGGAGAGGGGGAAGTTGACAAAGCTGCTGCAAGAGTCCGAGACGGATGGCTAGCAGTAGGAGCGATGGCCAGGTCCATCGATTCTGAGGTCAAGAATAAACTACGGGTGGGCTTGGCCAATAAGCTCGAGTTTCTGATGCACCTTCAGAGGAGTCTCGACATGCTGGTCTGGTCGTATATGTGCACACTAAACTACATGGGATTACAAATACATCCCCACTACTCCCATGCCCGCACCAACTTGACATATGACCCCTTCTCAGATGCTCCCTCCTCCCGAATCATAAAACCGCGGCCTTTCCCCACCTCGCCTTTCCTCCTCCCCAAAAAAAAGGGCCACCTACCTGCCTGGGTCGCGGACCCCAATCATCTTCGCACCGTCATCCCCCCCACCTTTTTTTTTTGA